AAAAGGGGTGAGTCAAGGGACCTACAGAGGGGGTCAGCAGAGGGGGGCAACAGAGGGAGCGTGCCAGGTTGGGAGGAGTGGAGGAGGAGACTTTGTTCTTGTTTGGGGTGACGTTTTTCAAGGTGCCTCAGAAGTTCTTGGGGGTGTGTGTCGTGTGAGAACTTATCAATGCTCACACACACTCGACCAGCACTACTTTTGAGGCGCCTCAAAAGAACTTATCAATGCTCACACACACTCGACCAGCACTACTTTTGAGGCGCCTCAAAAGAACTTATCAATGCTCACACACACTCGACCAGCACTACTTTTGAGGCGCCTCAAAAGAACTTATCAATGCTCACACACACACACTCGACCAGCACTCACGCACACTCACAATCACACTCATCAGCACTCATTTACACACTCCCCACGCGTTCCCACCCACATGTTGCCATGGCAGTACTTTCCGCCGCTGTCTGACTTTTGAGTCGACTCAAAAGTCAACTCGACCAACACTCACGCACACGCACGCTCAATAACACTCGTTTTCACACTCCCCGTGCATTCTCATCCACGTGTTGCCATGGCAGAACCTTCCGCCGTCTGACTTTTGAGTCGACCAAAAGTCAACTCGATCAACACTCACGCACACACCCATCAATACTCGTTCACACACTCCCCACGCGTTCGCATCCACGTGTTGCCATGGCAGAACCTTCCGCCGTCTCTCCGCGTGTTCCGAGCCAATCAAATCCTGCCAGTTGGCACTGCGAGGGACTTTGGCATATGCAAGGGGGTGACGGAGGGCAACGAACCTTGCAATTCCGTGATCAACAAGTGAGCGTTATTATCCCACCCCATGCCATCCTATGATCGTATCCCATGCCATGTGTCATCCCATCCCATCCCGCGCCCTCATCCCGCACCCTCCCATCCCACGCACTCTCATTTCACGCCCTCCCATCTCGCGCCCATTATCGCATGCCCTCAACTGACAGAACCCTTGCAGAGTATTGTGACCAATACCTTGCATCTCATGCCATCGCATCTCAACCATCCCATCACATACCCTTTCACCTCAGCCCATTTTGATCCCATCCGCCCTCCCATCACATCCGCCATCCAATCCTATCCGCCCTCCCATCCCATCCCATCTCACACCCTCTCCTCTCAGAACTCTCGCAGAGTACTGTGACCGCCACATTGCAGCAGCATATCAAAAGATGAAGCCAACCCGCCTCGAGCTCGACGGAGGGTGAGTGTGGACGGAAAACTCCGCTACTGTTCAATAGTATCTGGTTTGGGCGTGTTGGAGTCACGATTGAGAGTCTTGAGGCGTATCAAATCTTGAGACGTCACGAAACAAAACGTTTGAGGTGTCTCAAATCTCTGCCACTGCGGTTCAAGGCTAGTGTGGGCTTGTTGGAGTAGCGTTTGAGAATCCTGAATAGCAGCTTCAGCGTGTCAAAACTTGCCTGTGCTGATAGAAGGCTTGTTCTAACCCCAACCCCACCAGCCACCCCTAATTAAGTTCTCTCACTAAATTCACACCCTCCAAGAGACTGTTCATAACAGAAACGTATTGGCTTGTACCACGATTCATCAGCTCCCTTTTCTCGTTATAATCACACCTACAGGAACCTCTCGACTGCATTCCTGTACCGAAACAACGTTCGGCGGTCCCGGCAGGTGCTGCTGGGCAATGGTACATGTGGCAGTGGGAGCAGCAGCAGGAGGGGGGCAAGGCCTGTTGCTGCTCTGGACCAAGACGCTCTGAGGAGCATTCTCAGGGAAAAGGAGAACCTCACGAGCCGGCCCGTGTCGCAGGGGAAGCGGTTTTTGGCCGCGGCATCGGGGGATGAGGAGCAGGCTCCGTATGTTCCTCCGCTTAAGCGAGCAAAAGGCATGGAAACTGGGACGACAGACGTTGAGGCAATGGGGCAGGGGAGCGGGGTGACAGGGAGTAAGGCAACTAGAAGTGTGGGCCAATCACCCAAAGGGAATATCAAAGGAGGGGTCAAAGATGGGGTTATTAGAGATCAGGTGGTTGAAGAGGTTGAAGTTGGTGTAGATGGTTATGGTGGGGTTAAGGGGGGTAACGTAGCAGGTGGAGGTTCGGTGACCCAGGGGAAGAGACCCAATTGGATGTTGAGGGAGCAACGCTTTCAACCAATGGAGAAAATGGTTGAGCTGGTTGATGTCGAAGATGACGATGATGAGGACGATAACATGGGAGCAGCAAGCGAGGTGAGTGTGTTTTCCTTTTCTTTTCCCAGACTGCTGGTTACCTTCATTTTGTTCGTTTTATTCTTATTCTTTATATTCTTTATGTTGGCTCCTTTCAGGCCTTCATTCTGGATTCGTTTCTCAGGACAAGCCAAACACCTTGTGGCATATAGAAACACTTGTTCATGTTAGTACATATGTGAAACGGACAGGGTGGGTGCAGTGTCTACACTGCATACTCGTCCCCAGAATTCTCCGCTCATCTGGTCTTTTGAATGTTCCACCAACGTTGACGCCTGCCCTTTCCATGTACGTCCGTTACGGTAAATGCCAGCTCACCCCTTTTCAAGCCTCTCCTCAAGTGTTGACCGATCTTCGTTGACCCGCCTCTGCTTTGTGATTGCACCAAAGCATGCCATGTCACTTGTTTCGTAACGTGGCACTGGCCGACCTGAGGAAACTTGGGCACCGTCTGCCACATCACTCGGAATCAGGAGGAGGCAATTTCGTGGCGTTGGCTTGGAAAGAATGGTCGACTGAGCAGGCGAAGACGCTGGCGAAAAGCATTACCACATACACCTGGTCGAAACTTTTTCTCGCAGCGCCCTAGCCCATCGCAAACTCTGTGCATGACGGAACACATAGATGCGGCTCGGGCTTGCTATATACACGAAGAAAGATAGCCACTCTTTCCACCCAACAACCAACGCCTAGCAGACCAGAACCCACCAGGCCAGCAAGCGAAAACCAGCTTTTGTTTCGTCCAATTTCATCTGATTTACACGGATTACAGCTAAACTCGTAATTTCTCGGCACACTTCAGCTCTCCGGATTCTGTCGCAAAACCTCTAATGGCACGCGGTCCTCTAAACATGACGCTTCTCTTTGCATTTATCGCGACCCTCACTGTGCTATCGGCGTTCAGGGTTGCTCTTGCTGCACGGCACTTGACACCAGACGCAGCCGCAGTGCCCGCAGGGACAACGTCTGTGAGCGGCGTGGTTCTGGCGAACGGGACTCAGTACCACACGAATGCTCTTCCGTGCAGCAAATCGGCTCTCACTGGATACGCGAAGAAGGTTACGCTCAAATCAAAGTAAGTATTGTCACCATCATTGTTCCCTGAGCTTCTTGGAAATGAAAACTGTTCAACATGTGACAAAGAGCAGAGAGCAATAAATTGCGCGGGGACGCAGTTCTCCGCGTCAGGTTGAAGACATTTTGAGACGTTTGTCCTCGTAATCATTAGATATGTTGTCTGACCTATCCAAAATTGATCAGATTTGGATCCTTCATTCGAATCCTAACCCTGGCACAGGCTCTTATTCCACTGGAAGATCGTGGGCACGACTCTCTACGGCGCCATTGTCGCACAGGCTGGCGGTGCCGCAAAGAACGGGTGGATCTCCATCGCTTGGACCAGGAGCGCCGGCCGGATGGTCCCTGCAGACGCGGTCGTGGGTAATTTACCCTCGCCAAACACTGTCAAGGCGTATGCAATGACCGGTTACGGCATGTCCTCTGTTGTGCCGTCGTCTGCGTTCAAAGTGACTGCTACTTCCGTGAAAAATAGCGCCTCGTCTACGATTATCAAGTGAGTTATCGTTTTTTCAGACTATGAACAGGATGGTTTGGTTTCTGCCTCCAAAAAAAACAGGCGCCATAGCACAGGGATGGAGCATTCATTTCCACGATAAGCATATTCCTATGACCCGACTTCCTGCCTGGCATCCAGATTCACTCGAAGTGGCAAGACCGGCCTTTCGCCAATCAACTATGCCGGTGTGAACAACATGATATGGGCCCACTCCTACTCAGGTTCCTCCAAGACGCTTGGTGACCACGGTGGAAACTGGTAAGCACATTCTGTTACAAGCCATGCTTTAGCAAGTACACACCAAGTGCATTCCTTTCACAATTGACGGCAATTTGTTTCGTCATCCATCTCCCCTACACCATTTCAGGGGCTCTGTGACTGTCAACCTGGCATGCAGTGCATAGGTTGTTTGGAGAGATAAATTATACAGCTCAGTGTACTGGACATTGTGCTTATAGTATATGCATGCGTTAATGAATGATGGTGAGGTGGAGATTCTCAGAGTATCACTACCACTACAAAGTTGGCTAACACAGAGTGGGACTGTATTCGTTTGCTGTTGGTCTGGGGACGTGTAACACGAGGACGACCGAGTCAGCTGCGTACTGTACCTTATATATTTACAAGGTACCAACCACAACTTTGCCAGATACAACAAATGGACAGTAAACCATGAGAAGTCAAGAAGGATCGGTCGAACGAGAGTAAACATTGGTATCAAATGCTTCTGACATTTGCAATTCTTTTCACTCTCCCTTTGGCCATGGAACCTGATAGCCACGTCAAGTTGCTTTGCGTGAGGAAAAAGGGCATCTGCTGATAGCCACGTTTGCCCCAGGAACGCATATTCTTGTACGGTATGTAGGACTTTATTGGGCAGGTACAGTACCCAGGTTGCAGTCATGCCAGAATCCATTAGAGGGCCACAGCGTAGACTCTGTGTAGTAGTAGTTTTTGGCAGGTATCTTTGCCTAGTAATCGACCAAACAGTAAATTCGTGGCGATTCGCCAAACTGCTTGCTCTATTCTTAGCAAATGGCGACATGGAAGCATTTAGAATGTTCCTAGCATTCCTATCCTGCAAGTGACCTACGGTAATACTTTCTTGCAAGGAAGCGATTTCACTTTCAGTTAACAAGTCCGCACACAAACGCCTTCTCCTGCACACAACTCCTGCACCAGCGCTGTCGTTTTACACCTTGCAACCCAAGTTGACTGAAACGACACCCCTGTATAGACAGACAGGAAGAAGTTGGAATTAGCAATGAGAACAATCGATAAATAAAAGAAACTACATAATGTCGCTTGCTGGTATGGCTCTGAAAGGAGTTGAAAAAACGAGTCAAGAGCGTGCGGTACATGCCTGTTCGTCGGAGAGTGGTTCATCGGGCCTAGGGCCTTCTTGCCGTCAGCGGAAAACGCCCAAAGAAGGATATTCTTCGCACCATACTTCACGGGGACGGTACCCGCAGCGCCGGAGCGGGTAAACCTGCTCGGATGGCCGAGGGAAGAAGAACAAGTTTGCTTAGTGACAGCTAAAACGACACGCATTTGAGAAATCACAGAAAGAGAACGAAAGAGAATCTCCAAGCTGAGATGTAGTACATTGAGACGTGCAAGAATGTTTGTGCCGCGGGCTTTAAGCACGTGTACTCACTTCATGATGGTTCGCTGGGCGTTCACATCCATCTGCGGATTTGTAACCTTGAACACCTTCGTCGGCTTCACATCGCCGAGCGCGATGGTTTTCATGAAATACGCATCGATCGGCTTCGCGCCGGGCAGGTTGCCGATGACCGCATCTGAGCCCATCATCTTGCCTGCCTTGGAGAATCCGATGGACAGCCAGCCCGTCTTTGCTTTGATCCCAGCTTTTGCCTCCAGCGCGAAATTCACGGTGGTTGGGTTGACGTTCTTCCAGTGGAGCACTAGCCTGATCAAGCGAGATACGGGTTCAGCGGGGAGGAAGATACAGTTAAAGCCATAGTCATAACATGGGTAAAGGGCATGGTAACGTGAATTGACGGCCTTTCACTAGCCTAATTTGCGGAAATGGATGGGTTCACGCACTGTGACTCCCTGCTGAGGTACATTGCAGGGCTCAGAGAAATAGGAGTTTTTTGTACCGAGATGTCTGGAACAAATGAGAACTTTTTGTACGAGACGTCTGGAACAATTTGGGAACTTTTTGTACCGAGAAGTCTGGAACAAATTCTTAGTCCTGGATGACCAGATTTCGGAGCACATCGAATTTAACTGGAACTTACCCTTTGGCGAGAGTGACCGCATTCGTGTATCCACTGGCAGCGAGCGATGACTTGATGCATTTTCCAGGCACGATTGGCGCGGAGGCGGACACAAATACGCCACCTGAAAAGCCTCCAGCAGTCCCGAGCAAGACCAGTGCGAGCACGGCGAGGGACGCGAAACGCGTTGAATGAAGTCTGGCCATGGCGGCGACGGGAGAACTCGCGGAGGGGTGAACAAAGGGAAACGCGAACCACCGCAGCACTGGGATAGCTGAGCTGTTTGCAGGAAGAAAGGCGAAGCAGGTGGCTTCACAAGACTGTTGTTCTGTGTTTGTGAAAGGGTAGATATAAGTGTGTGGTGAGACGCAAGGTTGAATCATATTCTGTACGTTTGTGAGACCCTACGGTGTGGTGCGAGGCGGCGCGGATGGAGGCCAGTTCGGTTGCTGACGAGTGTCGACTGTTTGGGCATGGCGTGTCAGTCCCCTGGCAAAGCCGTGGCAAGCCCGACGCGCATCGGTGGTGGATATGGTGGTGGCGTGTCGGTGACACGCTGAAGTCGTGCTGAATGCGCGCAGCAGGGGTGTTGTTGGGACGGGATTCGGAAAAGGAAACACACATTCTCCCGCCGACGTGCACTCGCGGTCGAATCGTTTCTTGACATATGGAACTTGACCTGGCGGTAACTTTTGTTTGAGCGCGAAGTGTAAACGGCCCTGTGTCAATCAATTGTCGTTGGTACTGCCCCTTCTGTCGCAACTTTTTAGGGCGAACGCGCTCACCGAAAATCTTCTGCCTATTATTCGTGGTGCTTGGGTTGGAATGGAACCCTGACTGCAAACGACGAGCCGCGATTTCCTCCATCCAAGGACGAATTCGACGCGAGGAGTGATCTGCAGCATCCACCGACAACTTTTCTCGTTCAAACCAGAACTGTCGTGATGTCCACCCATTTCATTGGTCAGCAGAATTCCAGGCACTGATAAAGAGGATTCTGTACAAAGCTTGTACACTTGAGATTGTTTCTTCTGCATCTTCCTTATAGCAAGACAGTCCACAAATATAGCAAGTATATAGTTAGGCATGAATATAAAAGTGGGGGGCTATGATACGGGTTTGTATGCGCGAATTTCAAGGATAGGGAGATGCAGTTTCGTGTTTTATCGGTAGAAAAATGCCGTCTATGCTTGTCCAACAAGTCCCCAAACAATCAGTTGAAGTTGTCATTGCGCGTTCTTTAGCTTTAAATTTGTCACCCCATACTTGTATCTGTCGTAACATATATGAAAAAGCTGTCCTCATTCAGGGCGAACATCGAATTGGGTGGTAAAAATAAAGGCACTGAATAAGCCATCAAGATGTTACACGCATGCGTATATGATTTGTAAGGCCAATGTGGCGAAAGTAACACGTTCACGTTCCCGCCAAACGAGTATACATTCTGGTGGTGACGGCGACAGCCAGTACCGTCATTTTCCAACATTTTTCTGGGTTTCGCCGACAAGAAAAAATTGTGAGGGCACAGATTGGTCAGGGAGAGGTCACTTTTGGCGGGGAGGGAGAGGTCACATTTGGCCAGGACATTCACCCAAAGTCACCGAACCGCGATAATATATGCGAATCGCGCGACCGTTTCGCAGTCAAAGGACTTGCAATTTCGATTTCTCGAGCACCACATTTCTCCCGCCCACCCTTCTCCGCCAACCCAGTTTCCCATAGAGCTAGCCATCCAGTCACACAACCCAATCCTTCTCTCACATCACGAGTGAGTCACATCTCAGAACGGAATAACTAGCCGTCGCTTCACGAGCACATAGCCAGCACATAAGCTGCTGACGTAGTCGAGTCGACCGCTTATATTAATCTTCAGAATCGCGAAACAGTACCAGAATTTGCTTCATTTTTCTCGCATCAGAAATACGGGCAAAGATCCTTCAACGCATTAGAGGACGAAGAAGCGTTGGTCCTGTCTGTCGCCTGTACCTTCTCCCTTGGTTTTCGCAAATAGTTTTTTAGCTCTATCTGCTCCTCCGTATCTACGAAGACACCTTGACTCTGTCGCGTATCGCACAAAGACACTTTCAGTCGAGAACCTTCCCGATGGCTTTCCGTTCATGTCGTCCGTCATTCAGTTTCAAACCCAGCCCCTTCACCCTCATATCCAGCAGCGCCTTGCTTCTCGTACTGCTCTTTTCTTCCACGTCGGATATTCCAGCAACACCCGCCGGCCAGGAAACTCTTTACTCTGCCCGCAACACCCGCGGTTTGTTTCGACTAGCTGAGGCCAGGGACCTACCGGACGATACTCTTTTCGGCCGCCTAGGGTTGCAGAGAGGGCTGCTGGGTCTCGGGTCCAAATCGCATGACGGGAAACAAGTGACTTCTGGCGCGGGGGAAACGGGAGCGGCGGAAAAACTCGCGGAGCGGGTAAGGGAGCGAGATTTGCTGGGGATTCGACCAGGATCGCAAGGAGGGCAGCAGCAGCAGCAGAAGCCGGAGAAGTGTGTTGCGTCGACCATGCCGGGTTACACGGCGATGATCGCGCTGGCTGATTACGCAGGGTGCGTCTCTCATCCTTCAATTGCTCGACATTAAAGCCTTTGCCTCACTAAGTTTCGCCGCTGCATGATTGCGATTTTTTTGTTGTGTGAAGCCTCTCATCCCTCCAATACCTACTTCCGTACTAGATTCATTCTAGAGTGGGTGAATGGATTATGATCCGACGCGAAACTCACTATTTTCCTCTCAAATCTATCCTCGTGATGCATGGGCCCTCCTTGCAGGCTGTACTTCCATTTCAACGTGAAGGGCTCGACTCTCAAAGCCGCAGTGGAAGCGAGGACCGGGGCAGATGGAGCGAGCAAGGGATGGTTCGCTATAGGCTTCTCCAAGACTGGCAAAATGGCAGGTTCCGATGTGGTTCTCGGAAATTACGTTCCGTCCACCAATAAGAAGCTTCCTGTGGGCTCCAAGCCCGGAATCGGCGGTCCGCAGCCAAGGCCAATTGCTTACCTCAGTGTCAACGGTACTAAGAGCGGAAACGGCACCAAGAGCGGTGGGACTGGGAAGAAGGGCAGCGGGGCTGGAAGCGGAAGTACGAACAGCACGAAAAATGGTAACACTGGTAACAGTAGCAACCCTGGCAGCGGTAATGCGGGCAAGGGCGGCAAGCACAAGGGCGCGTTGGTGGGAGCTTTCAACATGCAGATCCTTACCATGGGAACGTATGCCATGGCGGACAACTTCAGAATCGCGAACGCCTCTGTTACAGCCTCGAAGAGCGGCACAGTAGTAAGGTGAGCCTTGGTGGATCGACCGTGTCTCCTGTGACTGTCACATAATCGCTTTGTGTCATATTTAGTACGCTCAACCCTCACTACTACGCTTGTCATTTCCTACCGTACCACGCCACCTCATCAACTTCTCACGTCATTCCACCGTTTGAACGTGCGGTATCGGAGTGTACAGCGGCCTTAAATCTTGATGTGTGTGCTGAAACATCAGTTTCCATACAAGCCCTCGCGCGTCATAAACGGTTTTCGAGTCTGGATTCCTTACTTCCCCTTTGTTAACAGGTTCACGAGGAGCGGGCCTGGCGGGTCGGTACCAGTGAAGTATGATGGTCTCAACACGCTCATCTGGTCCTACTCCTCAACTGGCGCTACCAAGGTGTTTGGAGGACATATGAGACACAGGTACGAGCCACAAGCAGGACAATTGTTTGTGTGGTCTGCATTTGTAATCACTTTTTTTTTTTACTCCGTCACTTCCAGCTTCACTCTTCTGATTTCAAACCTTGTATGCCATGTGGGCCTGTTGCATGAACGTCATGCAGGGGCAATGCAGTAGTGAATCTGGCGTGCAAGGTGTGACCACTCATGCAATTCTTATTATAGATTGCAAGCGTTCTCCTTATACATAGCCATAACTACGTTTCTAGATTGCAAGCCTTTGCCATATACTTAGCCGAAACTACGTTCCTTCCTAGTACTTGCTGACTAGTTTGGTAGTTACAGAACATGGATGTCAGCAGTGACTTTTAGAACATTGTTTTCTTACTAACGGAGGTAGTCTACAATACTCTCGAAGCTCTTGTTTGAATGGCCCTTCACTAGCCATTGAATATTTATTACTCCTTGCCATAACGTACTCTGATGAGTGCAGCCGACGGCCTCACGTACTGGGCTTTCGAGGCCGCAGCACTTTCGAGATGTCCTTGTACCTTTCTCCGCCTTTTTCAGTCAATTTCAGCACGATGCTCAGTGCCTCAAACACCAGGGTAAAACACCTCACTACCTTTCGACACCCTTCCAAGCCTCATATTGGCTAGAGGTCCTTCCCAAGCTAGATTCCACCTATTTTAACCTCGTTATGCTATCATCAAAGTACCCTTACACCATAATTGGGCGCATTTCAGTTCGCCTGTGAACCCCGTGCACCCATATCGAGAACAAATTCTGGTGATGGCAACCTTTTCTAACCCAGTAGGAAGAACTTGGGAGAGCACATATTGGTGAGTTTCCTAACCCAAACAGAGACAATTCACTTCTGGAAAGCACAATAGCGAACAGCAGAATCACCCAATCGGGAGTAGCATGTGGTAAGCGAATCGCGAATTTACTAAAGAAGCCCGTTTCGCCGTCGAAATTTCAATTTTGCGCGTCATTCTCCTCCCGCCCTTTTCCGCCAAGCTGACCCACTCTCCCAACGAAATGCCCTCCCACTCGACCACCAACAGCCTCACTCACACAGATGTCACACAACATCGAACAGAATGCCATATTTCCTCCATATGGCCAGCACAAAGACTGCTTGCGTGGTCGAGTCGGCGTCCATCCTTATATTTGTTCATAAGCACGATAAGGAACCGAAGTTCGCCTAAAGTTTCCAGAGAGCCACCTACTTTCCGATACGGTCCTAATTTCTTCCCACTTCTTGAAGTAGTGTTCCTCTCGGTTTTCATTATTCGTCCCTAATCCCCCTTGCTCTAGCATCTGTTCCTGCGCGCCGAATCTGCGGCCACCTCATCTTTCTCGCGTATCACGCGTAGGCGTTTTCAGTCAAGAACCGTCGGGATGGCTTTCCGTCCAAGTTATCCGTCAGTCAGATTTCAACTCCGCCAGTCCACCCTTGTGTCTAGAAGCGCCTTTCTTTTCATACTGCTCGTATCGTCCACGTCGGTTATCCCAGCAACACCATCCGGGCAGGAAAATCTTCACTCTGCCCGAAGTGCTCGAGGTTTTTTTAATCCAGATGAGGCCAGGAACCTACCGGTCCCAACGATTTCCAGCCGGCTCGGGATGCAGAGAGGGCTGCTAGGTTTCACGTCCGAATCGCAAGGCGAGGAACAAATGACATTTTACGCGGGGAAAGCGGGAGTGGGGGAGAGATTAGCGGAGGTGGCGGGGTTGCGCGATAAAGGGAAAAGAAAGCGAAGTTTGATGGGGCTTCGACCGGGATCGCAGGGGGGGCAGCCGCAGCAGAAGCCGGCGAAGTGTGTCAAGTCGACCCTGCCGGGTTACACGGCGATGATCGCGCTGGCTGACTACGCAGGGTGCGTTCTCATCCTTGGCTCGCTCTGATTTCGCATCAATGCCACTGAACGACTAAATTCCGCCACAGAATAAACGCGACGGATCTGCATAAAGCTTGCTTGCTTCGCTTGCTGGTCCTTTGCTACCTCCATTTCAAAGTGCATGTATGGATGTTGAGCCGCCTTAGGAGTCAGTTACTTCCTCCCTCGACTATCCCCTGGTCATTCATGGGTCCTTCTCTCAGGCTGTACTTTCACTTCAACGTGAAGGGCTCGACTCTCAAGGCAGCAGTGGAAGCGAGGACCGTTGCAGGTGGCGGCGCGGGCAAGGGATGGTTCGCAATAGGCTTCTCTAAGACTGGCAAAATGACGGGCTCCGATGTAGTTCTGGGAAACTACATTCCGTCCACCAGTAAACAGCTTCCTGGGAGCCCCAAGCTGGGTAGCACTGGCAATCCGCAGCCAAGTGCGAATGGTACTACGACCGAAAACGGCACCGAGAGTGGTGGGAATGGAACGGATGGCAGTGGGGCCGGAAGCGGGAACACGAACAGCACGGAAAGTGGTTACAGTGGTAACAGCAGTAATAGCAGTAGTTACCCTGTCAGCAATAACGTGGGCACGGGTGGCAAGAGCAACGGTGGGCTGGTGGGAGCGTTTAACATGCAGAGCCTTACCATGGGGACGTATCCCATGGCAGACAACTTCAAAATCGCGAACGCCTCCGTTACAGCCACGAAGAGAGGTACCGTAGTAAGATGAGGTGAGTCTGCGTTTAAGTCTTGTGACGATCGTGTCTCCCAAGCCTGTGCTGCATGAAATCCTGAGCTTGGGCTTCTGAATTTTGTGTCATGCACTCCTGCGCTTGTTTTATGTAGATTAGTGTTCTTGCTTTGTGCACTCATGTGCTTGTTTCTGGTGGATTCCTGAGCTCGTGTGCTTCGTCTAATCACTGCGCTTTGGTACCTCATCATACCACCTCATCAGCTTCTCACACCATCCCCCTTTTACAAATGAGGTTCACCAAGGAAGCTCCCACACCTTGTTTCGTGTGATGCACGCGCTAGTGTGTACATGTACGAGGTCTGTATGAAAAATCTCTGACGTTTTTAACCATTCTTAGATCTACTTTTCTCACTTCCCCACCATTAACAGGTTCACGAGGGGCGGGCCTGGCGGGTCGGTACCAGTGAAGTATGATGGGCTCAACACGCTCATCTGGTCCTACTCCTCAAATGGCGCTACCAAGGTGTTTGGAGGACATATGAGACACAGGTACGAGCCACAACCGATGCAATTAAGACCACATTTGTATATGCATCCGACACTTGGTTGTGCCTTGACGTGGGGGGCTGGAGGGACATTTGGATATTCAATCACTGCAATGCTTCTGCCTTCACTCGTCTGATTCAATACTCAATATTCCATGTGTGCCTGTTGCCTGAACGTCACGCAGGGGCAGTGCAGTGGTGAATCTGGCATGCAACGTGCTACCACTCGTGAAACTGAGATTCTAGAGTGCACGCATTTGCCCCGTACATACCGTAGCTATTAGTTGTAATCAAGTTTGCTAGTTATAGCAAGCACACTGAAACGAGTGCTGGAAGTTGTTACGAATTGCATTATCGGCCGCCGGGCAACGATTTGCGAGAACATTGCTACATGTGTCGTAGAGATGAATGCAAGGTAAAGACTTTCAAATCCCTTTCAGAATCAACTAATATACATTTCACATACGAATTTGAATACAGTAGGCCTACAAGTGCCATATGATTTTGGTATTTATACTGTGTCATATACCTATATAGGTTTACATAAAACAAGAAGTGTAGATGAAATGAGAAGGCGCGGTGAGATTTTGAGGGAAGCTTCTTTCATACTTCATTTTGAGGAAGCTTCTTCTATTTTTCTTCTTTCAGACCAGACCGCCCCTGTCAGTTTGGTTCTGGCCTGGACCAAGCGTGGTCGAGCTCGTGGGCAGCACATGATTTTTGGTTTGGCGCTCCAACTCTCACCTCACCACCGATAGACTGCTCCAATCATGTCCGCTGAATTGGCTCGTCCTGCTGGTTTGTTGAGCTGGCTAAGCGTCTCGTCAGCGAGCGACTTGATCTGCAGTTCGGAGTCGCCTTACACACCACATATGGCGAAACGGTCCTTTTCGCCACACTGTTGGCAATTTCTCGCGACATGGACGAAGGTTCAACGACGCTCGCATGAGGGTGGCCCGTGTTTTCCCAGCTCAACTCTTGTCCACCAGACACACGAACCGCCACGCGGCTCGTCACAAACTTGGGCATGCGACCCGACGCGACCAGACATTGACCAGCCATTGTACCAAATTCCCAAGCAAGCACATTCATCGCTTGGTTCAAATTCCCGAGCAAACTTCCACATTTCACCATTTCACAGTTCGTCAATCCCCCTTTCCACCAACTCTCAGCTGCAGCAGCAGATCCACAAGCCTCGAATTCTCCACATCTATAGCAAACATGGCTCGCACGCTCCTCATTTGCTTGATGATCGTCCTCCTCGTCGCACCATCCGTTTTCGCCCGCAAACATCCCGACGGCGCTGGCCACCATAACCGCAACGGCACGCGCACTGGAGGACACCACAAGGGCGGCGGGCACCACAAGAGCGGTGGGGGCAGCTCGTCGGGTCTAACCAGCAGCAAGGGCGTCACGGCGGGCAAGACCTGCAAAAGGTCGTCGCTGGGATACAAGGCGGCCGTCGATCTCACCGGAAAGGGGTATGACACCGTCCCAATCCTATGTTTTTTGTCCGAGTTGCGAACTCGAGACATCGAAACCGTCGACGAGCTTTCAAGGTTCCCGTCGAGATTTCGCACGCGATATCTTTTCCTCTCCATCGGTTTGACATCAGGGAGACGTCGTTCCATCATGGGGATGAATCATGACGTCGTCAACCGGTGTTTCCGTACTAATGCTGTTTTTTGGCCTTTACCCCCTTTTTTTTCAGGCTGCTTTTCCACTGGACGGTCTCTGGTTCGACCCTCAACGCCGCGATCGAAGCCCAATCCACCAGCGGCGCCAGCGGGGGTTACTTCTCCGTCGGCTTCTCCTCGAGCGGGAAAATGTGCCCCTCGGACGCGGTTGTGGGCATTAACGGGGCCTCCGCCGGTAAAGTATACAAGCTGGAGTCCTACACCAAGACCTCTCCCAGCACGGTTTCGACTATCGTGGAGAGCAGCCTGAAACCGACCTCCGGCAGCCTTTTCGTCAAATTCTCCCGGCCGGGCAAGGGAGGTGGAGTGAACCTCAACCTGAAAGGCAAGAACAACATCATCTGGGCGTTCGGGAAAAACAAGAAGTTCGAGGCCCACACTCCGACCAACCGGTGAGTGTCGTCCCTCTGAAATCCGCGTGAAGTGACAAAATAAACAATGCTGGATCGAGCGATCCAAAAATGTCATGTCGCGAGCAGGTGTCGTGGGTTTGCTTTGGCCGCTTTCCGGGGCGGCCTGAAAGCAGAACTTCTGCTCGGCCGTTGCCTCCTGCATTCCTCCTCTGTGTCTGACAGCGTTCTGCCGTCCCCTTAAGTACGCCCCAGCAGGGTGTGTTCATCATCCCTTTCTTCTCCACCTCCCCAATTCAAGCTCCATGCACATTTACGTAACAACGCGCCTCTGACTCATCTGGATGTGAATGTGCCTCAACCGCGCTTTGGGAGGCTTGCTAACTCGCTAACTCCCAACTCTCGTTATTTTCTTATCTCCGTGTTGCCCTTTGTTATTGCAGTGGTTCTAAGTCCGTGGATCTCTCATGCGTCGCGTGAGAATAGAGCTGGGCATAGGTTGTTGCGCCAAACTTCAGATAATATTCCACTTGATGACTAAAGTAGGTGCCTGCCTCGTAGCGTAGCGCATGTAGACACCATGAATGTTGCTTGGATGACGATGGCCAGTTCCCACTGCCCATCAGAGTCATCCTATCAGTTCTCTACTATTTCACATAACTCTGTTTGTTATAGACAGCGAGTTTGTTAGACAGCGTTATGAATCTATTGTGATACACTTCATACTCACGTTAAAAGGCGGGTCATACTTTTCCGTTCAGGGTTTGCGCGGTTAAATACGGTCCTCGTACGTTTGTGAACGGTTTTGAAATCCCCACCGTTCTGGACCATAGCGCACCAGAACTAACCTTTCAGAGTAGTTTATGAAGGAACGACGTTGACTCACGCTGAACCTCGTGTGCCATCAGCAGACACGCGTGCCACGTGTTCACTTGGTCTTTCCAATATTTATTCGCACCGCACGCCTCACCGTCCGAAAGGTTGAACATTTCTCTCAAATCGAATGTGCGACTTGAAATCCATTCCACTTCCAAGCACTCTGAGGAATACATGCGTCGCGCGACCCGATTTTCATTGGGCTTGTAATTGTCAGCCCTGCACATTTCCGGCGTGAGTTCCGTGGTGCTTGGTCGAAGACAAGCCAGCTTCCGCTGCAAGCCGGTGGCTGGCAACAGTGGATCAATGGAAAATTCCTTGCCTGCTTCTCAACTCGTCACCACGCGCTCCCGCCCCATCACTCCACTTGTGACAAGCAAATCGCTTTTCACACGAAGGGTACAAATACTTCAACGACTTTCCTTCTCTCCCATCAGAGAGCAGCGCCTCTTCCCACTCATCCAGAATCGCTCAGCCTTAGCGATTCTTTCCGTAACTCGAGGTTCGTCACGAGCCTTGAGACCCCGTTTCCGACCATTCGCGGTTCTACGTTTTTTCCGCGACCTCGAATCGATCGCCCGACTTTTTCGCTCCAAGACGTCAACGCCACCGCTCCAACGTCTCATCCGCCTCCCAATCCCAACATCATGGCGCGCGCTTCTTTCGCTTTGCTGCTGCTTCTCCTTGTCGCCCCATCCGCCGTCTTCGCGCGCAAGCGCGTGTCGCAGGCCAGCTGCGTGAAGTCCACGCTCGCGGGATACACATCAGCAGTCGACCTGAACGGAAAAGGGTACGCTGATTATGCCTTTCATAGCAGTTGATAGTATAACATTAGTAGAACACGCAAACTCCGTCAGAAACAATCTCCATCTCCCCCCTAATTGGCGTCTGAAGAGGATGAGCCAATTTATATGCTGGCTCTAGTGATTAACGGCTAACGCAATCTTCTCCGCTTTCCCTCCACCTTTTCGTTGCCCCGCTGCTTCTCAGGCTCATGTTTCACTGGAAGGTCTCGGGATCGACTCTCAGCGCCGCCGTTGAAGCCCCGTCCAACAAGGGATCAGTCTCCGTTGGCTTTTCTAAGAGCGGCAAGATGTACCCTGCAGACGTTGTCACCGGCTATAGCGGAGGCTCCGTTGCATCGTACAAGCTCACGGGCTACTCAGGAGGTTCCACCAGCAAAATCAAAGGCAGCAGCGCCAAATCCTCCTCTGGCGCCACTACTTTCAAGTGAGGCGTGCAGATTTTTTGGATTTTTTTGCCGCGAGTCGCGTGAAAATATGTGACCGCTTGAAAAAAACGTGAAGCTGCACATCATGGTGATGCGCCATTGACTCCGTATTGCCTCTTCTCTCCCCCTCCTCCCCCTCCCCCCACCCCCCTCCCCCCCCTTCCCCTCCCCCGTTTGGTTAATCCTAACGCAGGTTCACTCGCTCAGGCAATGACGGTTCAGTTTCCATCAACTACTCTGGTTCCAACAGCATCATCTGGGCGTACGGCGCAAGCAGCAAGAAGCTGGCTGACCATGGCAAAAATCGGTATGTTATTCGGCGCGCCTGCATGTCTCCTTTCTGTGCGTGACAAAAATTGCGAGATACAGCTGTTTCTCCGGGCACCCTGTTGCTAATTCATCTCCTCTCCACTTCCTCTCATGCTCTATGTCTGCGATCTCACCTCTATTCCCCTTCTCCCACCCATGATGTGTCTGCTCCTGCAGTGGCTCCAAGTCCGTGGACTTGTCTTGTGTTGGCTAAACTTGTCTTGTCTTGGCTAGAGATATTTAGGCGTTTTACTTCATCCTGTTAGGCTTCCCATTATAGCCAGATTGCAAATAATGAATGCATATGATTATGAGCTGTATAATGAGTTCTGGGGTTTATGAGAAATTACGGCAAACAAGCTGGATGTCTACTTTCTGCGCATGACAAAGATAGCGAGACACAGCTGTTTCTAACGTGACTGATTCCAAAGATAGCGAGATACAGCTGTTGCTAATGTGACTGCTTCCTTAGGACACCCTGTTGCCAATTCATCTCCGCTCCACTTCAACTCATGCTCTATGTCTGCGAACTCACCTCTATTCCCCTGCTCCCACCCATGATGCGTCTGCTCCTGCAGTGGCTCCAAGTCCGTGGACTTGTCTTGTGTTGGCTAAACTTGTCGTGTGTTGGCTAGAGATATTTAGGCGTTTTACTTTGTCCTGCTAAAAGGCTTTCTATTGCAGCCATGCTTAGGTTGCAAATGACGAACGAATATGATTGGTTATGAGTTTCAAAACTGTTCTGTAGTTTATGAGATAATAAAATTATGGCAAACATGCTAGAAGAATGACCATGTTCATCTTTATATTGATACAGCAGTAACTGACTACTTAAGGACATATAACAATTATTTTACATGTAGACGATCAAGGAGTACTTGTGTGCAATGAGTGGTCCCCCACCGACAGCATTGCCGGTGAGCGGTAGTGTTCTGTAGTTCGCGCTGGGAGGGAGGGGGTCGGAGAAAATCATCTCCAAGCAACATGCTACCCTCTGGGGAAACCCTGAAATGAAAACAAACAGAAGCAATTGTCGGCGGGCTGTTGAGAAAAGACACGGCCCGTTATGCTTTTGAGCCGTGCCATTGGCTGGTCGGTTAGTTTTGCTGACACAAAGATGCCCGTCCTTCGCCAACTCATCACAGTCCACGTTCCAACCAAGCAAGAATTGCGCTAAAGCCATTTTGGCTAGAAACGCCCTTCCCTTCCCTTGCCGTGGAAATGCCAATTTCGCGAGGCGCATTTCTCGCCTCAATCTTGCATCAGCGGCTGTCAAGCGAAATTCCTCTCCTGTCGGCCGCACTCATCCTCCTCCCATGCCATCACAGCTGCATCTATTTACTTGATTGGTAGAAATATGGAGTGTGTCTCGTTACTCCCTTTCGCAGTTTCTAGCGAACAGGCAATAGGCTTGTTGAATAGTACCCGAAACAAGCGTTGCGCGTTCCTCCTAGAAACAGCAAAACAGCATACACTTCCAGTTGTGCGCGACGCGTCTCGCAGTTCCTGTTGACGCCATGGCTGGATTTTCCCGCATGATCGCGACGCGCCGAATCCAGCGTGGTTTACGGTGCGGCCACCGCGTCCCGCATGTCCCGTTCTCTTCCATCGCTGTTCTCGCTCTCATCTTAGCAGCCGCCGGAGGCTGCTTCAAGCAGCCTAATGACGCCTGCGTGCGCGGCGTGTCTGCCGCGCCAGTCCCCGTGGCGAAATGCTTCAAGTCGACGTTACCTGGTTACACAAATGCCGCCACTCTCGCCCGAAAAGGGTAAGGCCAGGCCTGATCAATGTACTTTAGTAGACTCAAGTCCACAGGAAGTTGTTTTAGTCGAATATACATTGTCTACAAAATTCGCCTTGCCTCAAGCCTTCAGTTGAATGTGAGTATATATCCACTGACCGAAATACGCGGTTTCTGCGTTTTCCGCGAATCCCTTCGCGAATGAAGCTTCATGCTTCGCTTGTACCACATCGCGCTTCGCGAGTTTTCTCCAAACGTATGCCGCATTGCGATACCTACCCATACTCACCAAACCTCTCCACCCAGCCGCCAAGTCCAGATTTTCTCTCCGCTCGTCCTAGGTACCCTCGCAGGAAGTTGTTGGCCCATTTTGGAGGGCTGCTTTTTCTAGCTGTTCTAACCTCGCTTCCGTTCCTTGCACTCATTACAGGACTACCAGCCTCCATTTTTTTAAGCCTGGAAATTATGGCCGACTCTTCAGGCACCTCAATTTGTCGGCCTCCACATTTCGCCTTATCTATCATGATTTCCATTCCTTGCTCTGATAGCCAGACAACCAGGCTCGTCCCAGTGACTGAAGCAACGAGATTTGGGAGCTCATATAAACTCCCCTATTACCTCCCACCTACCAATGTACCATAATAAAAAACGTCTGATTTTACTGTACATTTTCTTCCCCTTCAACCCGTATCTCGACTGATCAGGCTGGTGCTACACTGGAAGGCCGTCAACCCAACCACCATGAACTTCGCGTTGGAGGCAAAACCTGCGAGCGGCGCTCACAAGGGCTGGATATCCGTCGGATTCTCCAAGGCGGGCAAAATGACCGGCTCAGATGCGGTGATCGGCAACCTGCCTCGGCCGAACGTGATTGGTCCTTACTATATGGGGAGCATCGTGAAATCCTCGGTAACGAGGACGAACAAGTTCGCGATTACAAAGACGAGCGTGGTTACCAACCCCCAGGGAACCATCATGAAGTGAGTTCAAGTGCTTTGGTGAGCTTTGCGTTCCAAGTGCTTCTATAGCAATGCCTTTCAGCCTTTCGTGGTCTCAACAATCTTACTCGTTGTTGCAAGGTTGGCTGACTTCAGCTGCTTTGTCCCTGTAACATACGTTGGTAATCTCACCTTCCTTTAGTACTCATTCTTAGCACATGTTTTGTTCTCCTTGTTCTGCTTTTTGCCATGCAAGCAGGTTCACCCGCTCCGGGCCTAAGGGTACTGTCCCTGTGAAGTACACTGGGAAGAACTTCATTCTGTGGGCGTATTCCGCCACTGGCAAGTCCAAGGCCCTGGACAATCACACTCCAATGAACAGGTACTGTACCATGTTTCTTAAAAATTGCTATATGAAAGGTATGCTGAATGTGTGCATGCCACGTGATACTTGCAGCTTACATTTGCTACACCTCATTTGTGTTTCCAATGCAGAGGTGCCGTGTCTATCAACTTGGGCTGCAAGGTGTAAAATCCATCGCCGCGTGGAAGAGAATATAGTTGATGACGGGAGATCAGGTTAGGACGTGCATGACATCTTACTGGTATCGTACCGACCGACCATGGCCAGTCAGCCATGATGAGTTGCAAATTTGACATGCCTCATGAGCTGGTGATGTGTTTTGTCCCATGGAACTTGGATACAAGTTTCAAGAAGAGTACTATTGGATTGGCCCTAGTCCAGAGCTGGCAAATTGATTCTTTCTCACCTGCAGTTTGAAGTAGCAAGCTAAGGGCTGGTTCCAATAGTATGTCACATGTGACTCTCTGAGGTTTGGTACCGTACAATATAGAACTGTCTATTTCTAAAACCGAACACATTTGTTGGGGGAAGATGTTTTGCACATTTATAACATGCCTGAGCCTCCGGGTTCCGCCCTAAGCATTGTGTGCGGTACATGGCTAACCAAAGCTACAGTAAGCCAGCTCCATCATTCATCAACGAAAAACGAGTATACAGGGAGTGGGGTCTTGCTGCTACTGCTCTGTGCTGGGTCTGGAATGTCAGAAATTTGAGAGGAATCTGCAGCTGACTTTGTTGATAGGCAAGCCACAGGGTCAGAAATACCCTTTTGAGGCGGTTCAAAACAACAGGAGGCTGGGCCATTTAGAGCTTGAGGAGAATCCGAGGTTCCATGTGATATGGATGCCGGGGAGGGAGGAAGATATTTCTCCTTCAAGGGCTTAGTCTTTGATGCAATAGCTGCCACATCAGCTGCAACATTGGCTGCCACATCAGCTGCCACGTCAGCTGATACATCGGCTGATACGTCAGTAGCCAGATCAGCTGATGCATCAGCGGACGCATCAGCAACCACGTTAGCTGCCACGTCATCCTGGTCTCGAGTCATGTTCTTATCATCCCACAAGGTCCTGGCAATGGCCTCTGCCACGTCAGCTGCCACGCCATACGCCAGGTCATACTCGTACTTGTCGTCGTTCAGGCAACCATTTTCATTGGTGTAGAGAGCAAGAGAGAGGAAGAACTCTCTTCCTGTCTCTATGTCGAAAATATAGCTAGATAGGAGGCAAGAGGGGAGGAGGAAGAGGTGGTTGGGGGGGAGGGGTGAGGGGGGAGGGGGCTAGGGGTTTCTGGAAAGAAAAAAAGAAAAAAATAAAAATAAAAATGAATGACTTATGACTCCTTTTCACCCGGAAAAACTATGGAAGTGTGCAGAGACACCGAAAATATGGACATAATTGGTTCTTGAGGATTGCTAATTAGTGAAGGGTGTAACATGACTCACGCGTTATCAATAGTGAAGCCAAACGCCTGCCCAATCTTGTTGTAGACGCGCAGAGCTTCCTTTGGCCGCACTCGGCACAATCCGGGCAGAAGAAACTGCACGAACCGACCGGGGGAAAGGAAAACTCATACTTGCTTGTGCTTCTCAGAGGAACTGCCTTTCTTTGACGCCATTGGTTGAGAAGGCATCCCTGTTCTCTCAGGCCAATACCCCATCATACCCTATCAAACCACATCATACCCAATCAAATCCCATCACACCCCCTCACACCCTACTAAACCCCATCACACCACTTCACACCTTGCAGTAATCATCCGTGTACTTCTTGTCAGCATATCCGGGGTTGCGGGACTCCCGTGGGTATTGCCCCATGGCCTCCAACACCAGTACCCCAACACACCTCATCACACCCCATCGAACCGCACCATACCCCACCCCACCACACCCCACCGCATCACACCGCGCCACACCTTGCAGTAATCGTCCGTGTACTTCTTGTCCGCATATCTGGGGTTGCGGGATTCCCGTGGGTACTGCCTCATGGCCTCCAGCAGCAGCAGCCTGTGACCCTCGTCCAATCCGATTGGCTGGCAGCCCGGCAGCTGGATCAAGGGCGGGAGCGGCAATGCATGGAAGGAGGAGAGACATCAGACTACTCGTTTCAGTCACGACTGGGAGGGATGCATACGGGGAAATGCATCCCTCCCATGACCCTCGTGTAGTGAGTCGAGTTTTGTTTCGACTCAGAACTCGGGTCACTGCATATGGGGAAATGCATCCCTCCCATGAGTCTTTCATGGGTGTAGACGTCATCTAGAGACAACATAGGTCAAGTGATTGTAGAGGGGAAAAACTAATGGGATGTTTCCATGAGAGGTAGGCACAAAAAACAACCACATTTGGCAAATACCTGTATGTCTGGGCGCATGAGCAGCACAAGAAGGTTCTGCAGGTCCAGTAGAGTCAAGCGATTCTTGAGAGAGAAACCTGATGGGGCCTTACATGCTCAGCAGATACACACACATCATGCCAAATACCTGTATGTCGGGGCGCATGAGCAGCACAAGAAGGTTCTGCAGGGCAACGAGAGTCAAGCGATTCTTGGGGGAGAAACCTAAGCGCACTTAACAGGATACATGCATTCACACCACATCTTGCAAATACCTGTATGTCTGGGCGCATGAGCAGCACAAGGAGGTTCTGCAGGTCAACGAGAGTCAAGCGATTCTTGGGGGAGAATTCCAAGGGCGCATTGACCTGTAGAGACCCGCCTGCCATTCACCAACATGCCATGCCATGCCATGCCATGCCATGCCATACCATGCCACGCCGTACCATGCCATGCCATGCCATGCCATGCCATGCCATGCCATGCCATGCCATGCCATGCCATGCCACGCCGTACCATGCCATGCCATGCAATGTCATACTACGCCATGTCACCCCATGCCACGCCATGCCATGCCACGTATGCCATGCCACGCCATACCATGCCATGCCATGCCATGCATGCCGATCAATGCACCACAGTCACCATGTCATGCCAAAAAGAAAAAGAGCCCAAGGTGTAGAGAAACGACGATAAACTTCATGCCTCCCGGTACAAGCAGAGGCAAAGAAACACACGAAGGCATGCGAGAGGGTAACCTCTGAGAAATTTGAAAATTCAACAAGGAAACATAGATGCCCCAACAGCCAAAACTAGCTAGTCCCCTATAACACACGATTCACGATATAAGCACACAGACCTTGGTGCCATTGGCATCGATATAAGCACTCCCAACCAGCAACCCCTCCACTCCCTCTACTGGGGGCAATTCATGGCTGCTGCACTTGGGAGCAAAGCAGAATGCGGATGCATTGGCTTTGCCTTCTGAACCAACTAGCACGGGTTCGCATCGCCGATTGTCGAGGGGAGAGAGGTGGAGGGAGAGGGGGTGGGAGAGGTGGGCGGAGGAGAGACCGAGGGAGTGCCTGGAGAGAAGGACAGCAAGGAAGAAAAGAAGTGATTTGCTTGCAACTGTGGTTGTTGAGAGGAGAGAGTTGGAGGAGAGACGGGCGGTGGGAGAGGTGGGTGGAGAAAAAACCTAGGTAGTGCCTGGAGAGGAGGAAAGGAAAGAAGAAAATATAGCTTTTCTGCTTAAAACAGTTACTATGTAGTGAAACACGTGGGGGGAGAGGCGGTGGGAGAGCTGGGCGGAGAGGAGAACCAGAGAGTGCCTGAAGAGAGAGATTGCTGCTATGGAGGCATCGCTGCTATGATATGAACGCATCGAGGCAGTGATACTCACATGGCTTCATTGAGTCGCCTTTGTCCTATCAAGGCATACAGCCTGTTGTATGCCGTGTTGCTCGACACCTGATTCAAGCACAAAAGAGCACGAGGATTTGAACCACAACAAGATTTGGGACGTGATTTTTAAGATGTCACAAAACATGTCCTGTCAAGGCATAGAGCGTGTTGTATGCCGTGTTGCTAGACACCTGAGTCGAGCAGAAAGAAACACAAGGATGTGAACCACAGCATGCAAGGGATAGGAAAAACCGCCTGATTAGGAACACACCAGGAACATATTTCTGATCTTATTAGCACCGGTAATTTGCCATCCACCCATTCAGGTCAAACGAATCTCGGCTCTTCTCCTTGTATCCAGATAGGCAGCTTTTGAGATTTCTCAAAAGCCGCCTGTAGTGGCACTCACCTGGAACAGCACTCACGAGGAACATCACTCACCAGAAACATCTTTCTGATCTCATGGGCAATGGTGATATGCCCTCCGTTCAGGTTGGACGGGTCACGGCTCTCCTCCTTGTCTCCAGGGTACAGAGGGAGGAAGGAGAGACGCGAGTTCAACGATATGTTCATGCCTCGAGCTGCAAGGAGGAATAGAGGGAGAGAAGGGGGGGGCGGGAGGGCGGGAGAAGAGGGGCAGGGGAGGAGAGAAAAGGTGAGGAAACAGCCTTTGTTGGTGGGTGGTGTTTGAGACAACATGGCTCAGGAAACGACAAAGGGCAGCACCACACGAGTGCGAGTAGGAGACTGACAGGAGGGAGAGCAAGAGAGAAAGGGGTTAATGGAATGAAAAATGTTACTGCTGGTGGTGTTAAGTCAAGCCAACAAGGCTACGTTCTCACTATAGGGAAGAGCAGTGTAGCAGTACAATCATGCAATTTAACTTCGCTGCTGTACTCTGTCACTTTCTCACAATAACCGCTTTGAGCCCTTTGAAACCGCTTCTAGCCCTTAGAAACCCAACGTACCCCAACCCAACATACCAGACTCTCACCTTGGAACTCTGCCACTCTCTGAAGAGCCACAACTGCAGCACACAGCTTGATGGCACTGAGAGGCGGAAAGCCGAGAAGAGGAGGATGACAAGAGCGGAGACAGGCACACATGGGAGGAGACGAGGGGTGGGGCAGAGCATTTAGGAAAAAGGATGACAAGAGAAGAAGACAGACAAGAACGGGACACCTGGCAGGATATAGCATCTTCTTAGGGCAGCAAACCTGGTAGGATGGAAGTACTCATGATCCACTCAATAGCCATGAGACTGTCAGGATAGATAGAGCATGTGCTTAGGGCAGCACACCTGGCAGGATAGAGCATGTGCTTAGGGCAGCACACCTGGCAGGATAGAGCATGTGCTTAGGGCAGCAAACCTGGCGGGATAGAAGTACTCATGGTCCACTCGGTAGCCATGTCGACGCAGACAAGGCTGGCCGCTTACGTTTGCAGCAACTTCTGATACAAGCACCTGTGCGATAATGGACAACGGAAAACGCAAGGACGTCAAGACTGGCATACAGAAAGCATCAAACTCGTTCTGAGAACTTGAGGAGGCGTATACGTTCAAAGTTTTTACTTCTTTCTTTCTGGTTTGTTTGTTTGTTTGTTCGCTTTCTTTCAGCTGACAAGTCCAAAATCTGAACCACCCCATAAATACTTCGGAACGGATCACTAATGGAGTTCGGAAAACGGATAATGTCAAAACGTAATTTCGTACCTGGAACCTATACGTGGAAGGGTCCTCTAAAACACGGCGAAGCTTCTTGGAAGGATGCCGACGAAGGATCGCCTGACGCATTCAAGAAGCAAGGCGAACAGAGGATCAAGGAATGACGACGATCATCACGACGGGATCACGACTGAATCATGACAGGATCTCGACGGAATGACGGGATCATGGCGGATGATGACGGGATAACGTCGGCCAAAGAAGGAGACGATGTGACTGTAAGTAAGCAGAACGAAAAGAACGGTCTTCTGATAGTAGAATGGCGAGCTCAAATGGTGATAACCTGCTAATGAAGTGGGTGAACCTTCGCGTCGCACCTCCACGTTCATCGTTGCTGATGTAGTAATGACTTCGCGGCTTGACTGACGAAACGAAATCGGTCAATCACAGGTCTTCCCGCCTTGGTATACCATGGCCTTTTTGGTTTAGAGACATGCAATGTTAACGCGCAGAGACCGTTAGGCCACCATGGATTCACAGTACCCTTGATTGTGTCTTGTGTGTCATGAGCAAGGTGACTACTGCTTGCCTCTCATAAACAAGCTGATCAAGCTCTCCGACAATCCCAAGGTGAAGCGAACAAGATCCTTCGAACAAGCTGTTCAAGAGAACACTTCGGTAACCGTAGTTCGAGAAGAATGTCAAGACGGTTTAAAACGGTGCAAGGGTTTTTTCGACGTTCAAGTCTCGAACATCGCTTGAACTGAGATGTTCAAGCTCTCTGGCAAGGCAACGTCACGTGATCCGAAAGCGAAAGCTAAACATCAGAAGCAAGTACGGTACACGGGTCCGCAACTCAAAGTAAATAAAAGCATTATGATACATTTCTAAGTAGCAAAATATCAAACACTTCGAAGTGCAACGGTCGTTGCACATCTATGATAAAGGCTTGTTTATGACTAGTACCAGTTACCATCCGGTTTTTTGGGCAACCAGCCCCTCTCATAACTGTTGACAAACTGCCAGTGGTGAGTCCCTGCAAAAATGGAACGAATGCCACGTGGAAAAGGAGAAAAGTAAACCGCATGTTCTTTTTAAAGACAGTTTGGGTTTACAGGGCACATTCAACAAAGTGGCAAAAAAATTGCGAGCATTGATTGAAGCATCGAGGCGAAGGAATGAGTGAGGTCAAGCACTGACAAATTGTGCTAACTTTTGAAGTTAACAAGAGGGAGGGGAGGGAAGCAGGGACGTACCAGTGGTGTTGAGTTTCCAGGACCAGAAGAACCAGCCGGCCTTGGCGAGGCTAAAGGCCTTCATCTGGGCGAGGGAGAAGTTGGCCTGCTGCTCTGGCGTTGCACTGTTGCCCATCGCATTGCAGAACTCCCCCACCAGCAGCTGCCGCCCCACTTTCTGCACAAAGCATAACGGCACACAGGACAACAGGACACAGAGCAACGGGACATCCAGCATGTGTCACGTGGAAAACAGGTAATACGTCGACTAAAAATGAAGGAAAATGATATAGAAACGATCCTCATTGAGTCTACTTAAAATGAAGGGAAGGCCATGGATGGATCGCAAGCAACCCACCTCTTGGAAGCTGACGATGTTGTTAACCCGGGTGGTGTAGGCGTAATCGAGTTCAAAGTTGACGCCCTGGGAGCTGAAGAAGTTGCCAAAGACCTCGTAGATGTGCTGCTCCAGGATCACGTTGTTGTGCCACGCGTCGCTCATGTGCCACATCACGTCGCCAAAGTTGCTGCCCACGCGGCCCTCCATGGCCACGAAGCAGCACAGGCAGCGCGCGCGAATGGCGTTGAAGGCCGCCGAGTAGTACCCCCGCATGTCCTCCAGATCCACCCCCGCGTACCCGTTGGCTCCGGGGACCACAGGCTCGTTCAGCAGCCCCATTCCGAGCCACATAGGGTCGGCGCCATACCTGCCAGGTTCGGGTGGTTCGGGAAAGCAAGGAGACGGAAACAGAGGCGAGAATGGGTGAAGAATCAGGTGAGAAAGGCTCTCCAAACCTCACGGCTTTCAGGTGCGCGAGCGTAGACATCTGGGGGAAGAGGGGTGGGGGGGAGGGAGCAGAAGCAGCACAGGCAGCGCGCGCGGATGGCGTTGAAGGCCGCCGAGTAGTACCCCCGCATGTCCTCCACATCCACCCCCGCGTACCCGTTGGCCCCCGGCACCACCGGCTCGTTCAGCAGCCCCATGCCCAGCCACATAGGGTCGGTGCCGTACCTATAGGATTGGAAGCCAGGAGCAAGAAGCCATTGGGGCAAGCTAGCATCGGAAACACAATTGAGGAACTCTCAAAGCATTACAAATTCCAGTGCAACAGCCACACACATATCCTCCCTCCCTCCTTACCCAGTTAGAGTAAGCTGAGAGTTCATTCAGACACATAATATACTATATTTCGGCCATGTCTCGTGTTCCATCATGGTTAGCAATCTTCTAAGATCATATTCTCTAACACCTCCACTGATTAATGCAAAGCACACAACCAAGCGAACAAGATAGTCTCACCTGTCAGCAAGCCAAGTGACGAAGTCGGGTGTGCGGTTGATATTCGCCCCTCGCCAGCGAATCAGCCCATCCCTCTCGTTGCTCCTCCACCCTTTCCCCCCCACCCAGTAAATGAAACGCACAGAATCAAGCACACAGATAGTCTCACCTGTCAGCCAGCCAAGTCACAAAGTCGAGGGTGCGGTTGATATTCGCCCCTCGCCAGCGAATCAGCCCATCCCGCGCATTCCCCTTGCCCGCCTGCGACCCCGGCGCCACATGTACGCTGAACCAAATCCTCACTCCGTACTTCCTCCCCATCTCAAACGCCCAATCCAGGTACGTTGCCGCGCCGGGCACGAATGGGAACTCGGGGGAAGCGTCTAGGCCGATCCAGTAGGCCAGGGGGATGCGGACTGTGTTGATCCCCAGCTCTTGCATCTTCTGCCAGTCTGCCTCCGTGATGAAGTTTCGGCGAATGTTCTCGTAGATCGATGGTGCGGCCTTGCCGGCTGTGTAGGCTGCCTGCCAGTCGGCCTCCACTCGCCACAGCTGGGAGCGGGGAGGGGGAAGGGGGGGAAAGGGGGAGGAGGGGGAGGAGGGGAGGGGGAGGGGGAGGGGAAGAAGAAGGGGGGGGTGAGGAGCACGAAGGGGAACTCAGGGGAGGCGTCGAGGGCGATCCAGTAGGCCAGGGGGATGCGGACTGTGTTGATCCCCAGCTCTTGCATCTTCTGCCAGTCTGCCTCCGTGATGAAGTTTCGGCGAATGTTCTCGTAGATCGATGGTGCGGCCGCACCGGCTGTGTAGGCCGCCTGCCAATCCGCCTCCACTCGCCACAGCTGGAGTGGAGAGAAGAGGAGGGTGGGGGTTGGGGGAAGAGGAGTGCAGTGGAGATTTAGGGTAAATGTTGATGAGAATATATAGGTTCTCTACGAAGGCCGCCCGCCAGTCCGCCGCCACCCGCCACAGCTGGGGGTGATGGGGAAAGGTGGAGGGGGGGAGTGGGAACGTGGGTTACGTTTTGATGTGGAAGGGCGTTTGTTGTGTAGGCCATTGGCCAGTCTGCTTGCATATGCCACGAGTTGAGAGGGAGGCCGGAGAAGACAGCATAGTAGGACGGGCGCACTAACCATAGAGAGAAAGAAGGGAAGGGAGGAGGGAGGTTTGGGAGGGAGAGAAGGAGGTAAGGAGGGAGAAAGGAGGAAGGGAGTGAGGGAACACTGACCACAATTAGGCAGTGGGGGGAAGGAAAGAGAGGAGCCAGCAGCAAGGGAGGAAGGGAAGAGGGAGAGGAGGGAGAGAGGGAGGGACGCCCCACTTACTCACAGTGAGGTCTACTTTTGAGGCGCCTCAAAGAGGGAGGGAGGGAGGGAGGGAGGGACGTCACACTTACCACAGTGTATTTTTGAGTCGACTCAAGAGGGAGGGAGGGAGGGAGGGAGGGAGGGAGGGAGGGAGGGAGGGAGGGAGGTCGAATGCAGCAGCGTTGAATGCAGCAGCGTTGAATGCAGCAGCGTTGAATGCAGCAGCGTTGAATGCAGCAGCGTTGAATGCAGCAGCGTTGAATGCAGCAGCGTTGAGCGGAGATGGACGATGGAATGCAGCAGCGTTGAGTGGAGATGGACGAGGGAGTAGGGAGTGGAGGGAGGGGGAGGAACGGAGGACGGGTAGGAGGACGGAGAGGACGCACACTGGCCACAGTGAGGTCGAATGCGGCAGCACTGCTCTAAATGGCGCTGTTGTCAAGTGAGTCCATAAGATCAGCAGTGAGGGAGCCGTCTGGGTTGGCTTGGACAAAGAGGCCGTTGGGAGGAAGGGAAGAAGGAAGGAAGAAGGAGGAAGGAGGAAAGAGGAAGGAGGAACTCCCAAGCACTCACCACAGTGAGGTCGAACGCAGCAGCGCTGGACCAGATGGCGTCGTTGTCAAGAGAGTCCATAAGATCGGCAGTGAGGGAGCCGTCTGGGTTGGCTTGCTTTGTTATCGGTGGTGAATCACAGGGGCTATGTTCTACTCCCAAAGCCCACAGATACTCACCACAGTGAGGTCGAAGGCAGCAGCGCTGGACCAGATGGCGTCATTGTCAAGTGAGTCCATAAGATCGGCGGTAAGGGAGCCGTCAGGGTTGGCTTGGACAAAGAGGCCATTGGGAGCGCGCAGCACCACGCGCACACTGCCACCTTTCTGCTCCGTTGATGCGTTCAGTGGCGTGCCATAAATGAAGAGCTCAAAGTTGCTCGCTGCACCCTGGATGGGAAAGGAAACCGGGGGGGTGAATGAGAGGGGCATAGGGAGAGGAGAGAGATATGAGAAACGAGGGGGGAACAGGGAGAGGGAGACGGGGCGAGTAGGAGAGGTTGGCAGTGAGAGAGCCGTCGGGGAAGGCTTGCAGGAAGAGGCTGTTGGGAGTGCGCAGCACCACGCGCACACTGCCGCCTTTCTGCTCGGTTGATGTGTTAAGGGGCGTGCCAAAACTAAACAGCTCAAAGTTGCTTGCTGTGCCCTGGGAGGGGGGGAGAAGGGAAAGAGGGGAAGCGGGAAATGGGTGAAAGGAGGGGGGAAAGGTAGAAAGGGGGAAGGGAGAGACGCATTGGTGGAGTGCCAGAGATGAGAAGGCTTTTGAGTCTACTAGAGATTCGTCACCTCTCACGCGGAGAAAGGGAGAGAGGCGTAAGTGGAGTTTTGAGACATCTCAAAACAGAGAGACGCACTGGTGGAGTGCCAGAGATGAAATGCTCCAAGTCGCTTACTGCACCCTGAGGAGGGAAAAGAGGGAAGGGGGGAAGGGGGCAAGGGGGGAACGGGGGAAAAAGGGAGAATGGGGGAAAAGGGGGGAATGGGGGGAAAGGGGGGAATGGTGGGAAAGGGGGGAAAGGGGGAGAGACGCATTGGTGGAGTGCCAGAGATGAAAAGCTCCAAGTCGCTTACTGCACCCCGAGGAGGGAAGAGAGGGAAGAGGGGGGAGGCAGGAGCATGAAAGTGAGAGTTCTGTGGAGCCGTTGATCCGGCATGTTGAAGAGAAAGCGATTTTTCAGGCGCCTCAAAAATAGCCGTTGATCCAGCATGCCGAAGAGAAAGCGCTCGCTGTAATATGAGAAAGCAGCTTGATGAGAAAGCAGCAAAGACAGCGGTCGGGTGGGCAGAGCATACCTCGGGTTCTGTGGATTGGACCCAGACGTTGGGTGAGCTGTCCCGCACGCACGGCCAGTACTGCAGCCACTGCTCTGCACGTATACCTGGTGATGAACTCTCACTCACGGTTACAAAGGGTTTGTGGGTGGATGGCACAGCATACCTCGGGGTCTGTGGATTGGACCCATATGTTGGGTGAGTTGTCCCTCACAGCATTGTACTGCAGCCACTGCTCTCCACGTATACCTGGTGATGGACTCTCACGGTTACAAAGGGTTTGTGGATCAAAGCAGCATACCTCAGGCTCTGTGGATTGGACCCAGACGTTTGGTGAGTTGTCCCGCACAGCCCAGTACTGCAGCCACTGCACGGATATCTGGTGAGCCACATGCAGAGAGGCAAGTGTGGATGGCATGAGCCGCAAAACGAGGTGACTTTTGACTTTTGAGTTGACTCAAAAGTCTCCCCCAGTACTGCAGCCACTGCACGGATATCTGATGAGTTGCATGCAGAGAGGCAAGTGTGGATGGCATGAGCCGCAAAACGGGGGTTGCAAGCAACGCGTTTAAGGCCTGTCAAAGTTCATCGACAGCCCAGTACAGAAGCCACTGCATGCACGGATATCTGGTGAGGCAGAGGCGGGCAGATCAGGGGAGCACAACGGAAGAGCACAGCACAGCACAGCACAACCCCGGTAGTGCGCATTAGTATACAGTGTGCAGGCAGTACGTTTTTAGAATTCTCAAAAAACATGTGTGCAGGCAGTACTTTTGAGGCACCTAAAAACTAGCAAGTAGTATGCATTAGTATACAGTGAACACTAAGATTGGGCAATTGAACAGGCTAGTATGCATACTAGCCTTTTGAAGGGCCATGGATTGCGTGTACTCTTAAAAGAGTAGTATGTATCTAATGGCGGGTCTTACTCTACGAGTGTTGGACGAGGCGTTTCGAACGGTGGTGAGGTGGAGGTAGGTGTCCTTGTTGAGAGAACCGTTGCAAGTCATCTGGTTGTGGCAAGAGGGCAAAAAGAGGGAAAAAAGAGAACATGGGTGGGGGGAACCCACATGAACATGAAAATCCTGGCATTTTGAATAGTGGTGAGGTGCAGATAGGCATTCTTGTTGAGAGAACCGTTGCAGTTCATCTGCTCGGGGCAAGAGGAATGTGCAAGTTGGAGAGTTGGCACTTTTTAACGGTGGTGAGGTGCAGATAGGCGTTCTTGTTGAGGGAGCTGTTGCAATTTATCTGGTTGTGGCAATAGGGAAAATTCGGGGGTATGCAAGAGAACGCGATTGGATAACCATCGGCTGTCAATGCGATAAGATAAGGTGATCTTATTTTGCACGAAAACAAAGAGCAACTGCAACCTTATGTGACGTTGGGTGTGTGCACTTACAACATATTGTGATGTAGGGTTTGTGCACTTACTCTTGTTCGTTCCACCACCACCAGGTGCTGAGGTGTTTTGGCCCTTTATCACCGAGCGAGGTAATTGTCTAGTCGGCTAAAAAGCGATAGTAACGTAACATATCGTGATGTTAGGTGTGTGCACTTACAATTGTTCCACCGCCACCGGGTGCGGAGACGTATTGGCCTGATATCACCGAGCGAAGAGTGAACTGCCATGCATACACCATGCCGCATATACATCATGCCATGCATACACCATGCCGCATATACACCATGCCATGCATCACCATGCCATGCAGGATGCCATATGGCATGCACCACCATGCCATGCAGGATGCAATATGCCATGCACCACCATTCCATGCACCATTGAATGTGCCATCGCATAGCAAAACGAGAAACATTGCCAAAACGGATTGAATTTAGATGCTAGGTGTACCAACATAGAAGGGGAACTGCGTTCGGAGGGTGAATATGGTGCAAAAGCACATTATATGCTAATAATTGAAATACTTCTCTCCCCTCCCCACTCCCCTCCCCACACCCCCCCCCCCCCCCCCTTCTTCCCCTCCCCTCCCCTCCCCTCCCCTCCCCTCCCCTCCAAGACCCCTCCCCGCTCCCCCAACCCACTCACCCGAGTGCCATGGCCATAACCAGCAAACTTGAAAACCTCGCGGTTCATCCACGGCTCAGTCATGAGCCACGACCCCAGATTCGCCCCTTCCTCATTTTCCCGTGCCCAGTTCTTCCACCCCCCCACCCCAGCACACTCACCCGGGTGCCGTCGCCGTATCCGGCAAACTTGAAAACCTCTCGGTTCATCCACGGCTCAGTCATGAGCCACGACCCCAGATTCGCCCCTCGAATCGCCGGCACCCACATGATCTCCCGCACGTCAAGCCGCTCCCAGTCGCCCGGCTCCCCCTGCCACCAGAACTGCGGGCCACTCTCGCCATTCTGGGAGATGTACCATCCATCAGAGGACTTGAAGACCACGTAGACCGTGTCTGGAATGTATTCGATGGTGAACACTGTGAGAGGATCTGAGCCGTTGGTTGTGGTCTCCAGGAACATGGACGGGGCCTTGGTTAAAAAGGTGTTGCTGGGAGTCAGGAATTGGAACTGCATGGGGAGGAACATTGGGACAGACAAACAGTGCATGGGGTTAATTAGTACCAGTCGTGCCGCTCCCAGTCGTGCCGCTCCCAGTCGCCCGGCTCCCCCTGCCACCAGAACTGCGGGCCCCTTGTCGCCGTCCTGTGAGATGTACCATCCATCGGAGGATTTGAAGACGATGTAGACGGTGTCGGGGATATACTCGATGGTGAACACTGTGAGCGGGTCCGAGGAGTTGGTAGTGGTTTCCAGGAACATGGACGGGGCCTTGGTCAGGAACGTGTTGCTGGGAGTTAGGAATTGGAACTGCAGGGGGAGGAACATTGGGACAGACAAACAGTGCATGGGGTTGATTAGTACCAGTCGAGCCGCTCCCAGTCGTGCCGCTCCCAGTCGTGCCGCTCCCAGTCGCCCGGCTCCCCCTGCCACCAGAACTGCGGGCCACTCTCGCCATTCTGTGAGATGTACCATCCATCAGAGGACTTGAAGACGATGTAGACCGTGTCTGGAATGTATTCGATGGTGAACACTGTGAGCGGGTCCGAGGAGTTGGTGGTTGTTTCCAGGAACATGGACGGAGCCTTGGTCAGGAACGTGTTGCTGGGAGTCAGGAATTGGAACTGCAAGCAGGGAGAGAACAACAACGGGAAGGGAAGGAGGAACATTGCATGAGGGTTGATTAGCCCTTGTCGCCATTCTGTGAGATGTACCATCCATCGGAGGACTTGAAGACGATGTAGACGGTGTCGGGAATGTATTCGATGGTGAACACTGTGAGCGGGTCCGAGGAGTTGGTGGTTGTCTCCAGGAACATGGACGCTGCTTTTGTTAGGAAGGAGTTGCTGGGAGTCAGGAATTGGAACTGTGGGAAGGGAAGGGACATTGGAATGGAAAGGGCATTGCACAAAGGAATGCAGGAATATGAGTAACTGTGTGTGGAGTAACAAGGCCGTCCTGTGAGATGTACCATCCATCGGAGGATTTGAAGACCACGTAGACCGTGTCGGGGATATATTCGATGGTGAACACTGTGAGAGGATCTGAGCCGTTGGTTGTGGTTTCCAGGAACATGGAGGGGGCCTTGGTTAAAAAGGTGTTGCTGGGAGTCAGGAATTGGAACTGTAAAAGGGGGGGGGAGCGCAAGGGGATGTGGGTATTCGATGGTGAACACTGTGAGCGGGTCCGAGGAGTTGGTGGTTGTTTCCAGGAACATGGACGCTGCTTTTGTTGGGAAGGTGTTGCTGGGAGTCAGGAACTGGAACTGCAGATGAAGGGAAAGGGACATTGGAATGGAAAGAGCAATGCACGAAGGAATGCAGGACTGTGAGACCGCATCTCTAGGACCCGCCGCACATGGGCAAAATAAGAAACCCCACCATTGTTCTTACCTCAGTGTCTGAGATCCGAATGATGGTGAGCGCCTGTGAGGCAGTGGGGGTGATTGTGAGAGAAGCCATCTCTTGCTGCTCGCACTCGCACATGACATGGGCATACGAAGGCATTCCATCCCTCATACCTCATTGTCTGAGACCCGAATGATGGTGAGCGCCTGTGAAGCACTGGGCGTGGTGCTGACCCCATCTGTCACATCCGCACTCACTGGATATAAGAGCAAGTCATTCTGAATAAACCCCATCCCTGTTCTTACCTCAGTGTCGGAAACTCGAATGATGGTGAGCGCCTGTGAAGCACTGGGCGTGGAATAGACCCGGCTTACACGCCCCTCCCAGTTCACCCCGTCTGCTGCTGCCCACCACGTGCCCCATGTCTTGGTGCGCACTATCACCTGGAAGGGAGGGGGGGGAGGGGGGGGAGAGGGCAAATGGAGGGGAAAGAGTGTGGGGGGGGGTAACAGTGTGGGGATAGCTGCTGCCCACCACGTGCCCCATGTCTTGGTGCACACTACCACCTGAAGAGAGGAAGATGGGAAGGCGAGGGAGGAGGGGGAGTGCCTGAGTGCTGAATAGTACAAGGTATGTTTTGAGGTGCCTCAAAATACACCTCAATGCGGGCTGAATAGTACAAGGTATGGAGAAGCTGCTGTCCACCACGTTTGCCACGTCCTGGATCGCACTATTATCTGGAGGAGAGGGCAAGAGGGGGGGAGGGCAAGAGCGGGGGAGGGCAAGAGAACGTGTGTGCCGCTCCCAGTTGACCCCGTCTGCTGCTGCCCACCACGTTTGCGACGTCTGGGAACGGATTATCACCTGAAGGGAGAAAAAGAGGAAGGGGGGAAGTGGTTAGGGTAAGGTAGACGAATACGTGTGGGGATAGCTGCTGCCCCCCACGTTTGCCACGTCTTGGAACGGATTATCACCTGGGGAGAGGAAGATGAGAAGGAAGGAGAGAAGTCACAAGCATATGATGCATGGGAAAGGGAGGACCAACTAATCACGTGCCCATAGCCATGCCCATACCCATACCCACTAACACCCATACCCATACCCAATAACACCCATACCGTCCGTCCCCTCCACTCACCCTAGCGCCGTGCGCCAGCTGGCTGCTGAGCCACAGCGAAGTCATCTTGAGATCAACCCCCTCCCCCGTGTTTTTGAGACGTCTCAAAACACGTCATCTTGAGATCATACCCCCCCCGTACGCCCCTATCCCTTCCCCCACGTGCACTTCTTCCCCTTCCCCTTCCCCCGCGTGCACTTCCTCCCCTTCCCCCCCCCATCCCTCACTCACCCTCGCCCCGTGCGCCAGTTGGCTGCTGAGCCACAGCGACGTCATCTTGGGAACGAACCCCCCAAAAGCCCCTTTTCCTCCCTCCCACCCACAACCTAACTCCCTTCACTCACTCACCCTAGCGCCGTGTGCCTTCACTCACCCTAGCGCCGTGCGCCAGCTGGCTGCTGAGCCACAGCGACGTCATCTTGGGAACGCCGGGGGCGAGCACAGGAGCAGCGTTGGAGCAGCACTTCCCCTCGCACCTTGGCCCGGGCGGGGGAGGCGGACTGGGGGGAGGGCTGGGGGGAGGGCTTGGGGGAGGGGGACGAGGAGGGGGGGAGCGGGGTGGGGGGCGAGGGGGCGGGGAACGAGGGGGAGGAGGGCGCGGGGGGGAGGGAGGGCGGGGAGGCGGGGGACGTGGGGGAGGTGGGGACCTTCTTGGCGGAGGCGGGGGGGGGAGTTTTCTAGTTGAGGTGGCGGGTCTGGGAGGGGGGCTTTTCTTAGTTGGGGGCGGTGCTCTGGCTGCTATTACTCTCCGATGGACGGTGGAGGAGGAGAGGCGTATATCTCTTGACAGTCCGATGTGAGTGGAGAAGGAAGAGATGCGCCACGGCTCCTTTTGTTCTCTTTCTGTGTCCCCCCCCTCCTCTCCATCCTCCTGCGTCTCATCCCCCTTCTCTTCCTGCTCCTCCTCCTTCCTCTTCTGCCCCTGCTCCGCCTGCTCCTGCTCCTCCTCTTTCTCCTGCTGCAAGGACGTGCCCTCTGGTATCCCCTCCATCCCCCCTATCTCCATAATTTCCCCCCTTCCCTCACTCCAGTCATGATGCCGAACCTTGTCCCCAGCCTCTTCAAGAGCTTCTTCCCGAACCTCTTCCCGAGCCTCGGCCGGGCGTCTGGGCTGGTGCACCTTCCCGAACGTCATGTGTTTGGCGGCATGAGCGGCCCAAATGGCCTCTATCTCCGACTGAGGCTCATCTCCCACCGGCTCCACCCATTGAACCCCCCCAGCTCCCCCAACTCGCCCCTTACCCTCTGAGCCAGATCGTAAACGGCTCCCGGCGTTGGGATCTGGATCGCAGCCTTTATTCTGCTTCCCCAGACACAGGCTCTCGAGCCATGGGTCTATCTCTGGGTCCTCTGGTTCGAGTGACGGGTCGTCTCGACGACCCGTCTGGTGGGGATGCGTCTCCTTGATGGGGTCTGAATGGGGAGTTTGCGAGTGGAGAGTAGTAGGGGGTTCTTCTATAGATGCGTCGGAAACTGATTGAGAAGATCTACGGAGAGGAGCTGCTGCTGGGTGCAGATCGGACGGCTCTGGAACGTCGGATTGAAAGGGCGTGCTGGTCTGAACGGTCGTGATGGCTTGAACGCGTGCGAGGTCAAAGGTGGGGATGCCGTGCTGCGAGGGAGTCGATGATAGGAGCAGGACGATTGCTGTGCTGACGAGGAGAGCCGTGACTGCAAGAAGCAACCTGAGACGAAAAAGGGAGAGCAGGGAAGGGCAGAAACGAGTAGGGAAAGGGGTGAGGAAGCTTGAACGAGGGTGCGTTCAGCGGTCGTGCTGCCTTGAACGCGTGGGAGGTCCAAGGTGGGGATGCCGTGCTGCGAGGGAGTCGATGATAGGAGCAGGACGATTGCTGTGCTGACGAGGAGAGCCGTGACTGCAATAGGCAGCCTGGGACGACGGGACGAGGAGGGGAGAGCAGGGAAGAGAAGGTAAGAGTAGATAGTATTTTTGAGTAGAGACAAAGTACGATGAATGCCGGCCTAATGAGGAGATCCATGGCGAAGAGGCAACCTGAAACGGACGATTAGGGAAGACAAGGAGAGACAAAATGCTGTTGCGTCATAACTGGTTATGATATAAAACAGCTGCAAAAGGAAAGGTAAGGAAGAAGCAACGGTGGGAGAGAAGAAGGGTGCGGAGAGGCATAGCGGATAAATCTGTGTTGGGGAATACATGCGAGGGTAAAGGAGACGGCAGGGGAGGGAGAATGTAGGGTTACAAGAGTGCTACGAGGGGAGTGATACAAAAATGCTTTCTCCGGGGCAGCGTAACGGCGGCTAAGATAGAGAGCTGGCGAAAAAAGCGTTCGGTATACGACGGACGTTACCGAACCTATAGGCAACGTCTTGAAATGTGCTCATTAAAGTTTGATAACACATAGTTGCGTAAGTAGGTGGCTAGGTACGTGGAGGAAGGATACCTCATAGCCGTTGCGAGATGGAGGAATCTAGGTGACGCCTCATTCGGCTCGTAGGCCTATTCCGATTAATGTGGAAGCAAATCTCAAATGAGCACAGAAAAAAACTCGCCCTACGACCTAAAGAAATGGAGGACTATTGATACCACACGCATTGTTCTAACAAAATGCAGGTATCCCTGTACCATTTCGCGGCTCGTCCGACGAACGACATCTCTGGCTGGCGACGTCCACGTGGCAGAAGCAGTTAATCAAGATTCCGCCATCATGAGCCTCCACGGCTGGCGAAAAGACAATGGGGCTACCCTATCCTAGTACTCGCTGTGCAACAATGCTCACTATTCTAACGACGCAACGGTAACCAACTACTCGCTTCGGCAAACTCGCGAGTCTGCTGGGGTCTCTGCGCCGTACTGCTGATAGATTGAGGAGCTTTGGATTCAAGGTAGTAAAAGCCGACTTTGAGCAACGGAGACCAGCTAAACGCGAAATGCACGCACACACGATAGTGCTACAGTAGCAGGAATCAGTACACCCTGTTTCTCGCTATTGTGTATGCCGGTATACTGAACCCTGTGGCTCAACGCGCCAAATTACGCGATATAGTAAACTTTTGCACCAGTTCGGTTTGACGAGGTCAGCTACCTTTGAAGACGGTCGATTAAACTTTTAATATGGCTCGGTAGGGTACCCAGGTCAACGAAATTTCGGATCACCCGCCTCCTAGAGACGGATATTGTAAACTTTTCAAATACGTCCAAGGAATAGTTCCACTGTTCAGTGTGTTTCCACAGTTCAGTGTAGCGAGAAACAGGGTGTACTATACTACCCAGTCCAAAGAAGGCTCGCGGTCACGGTATTTATACTGCTAGGTTTGACGACAATGAAGAGGAAGGTGTATCGCAGAAGCGAAACTAGAAACGAAGGAACGGACACGCCGAAACGATGCGTAGGAAGAGGAATGGATAATGGTGTGTCGCGTCGTGAAGGGTTATGTCACGGACTCACGGCACGGGCCTTTCAAGAGGACCACCTTCGCTGGAGTCGGTGGGGAATGAGCTGGTGAGAGGGAGAGAAAGCTAGCAAATTGAAATGGGTGAATAAGGCCCACTGTCTGCTGCATTGCACACCACCGAACCATGGCGTCGACTGTTCATGGATATGCTTGAAGGCCGTGCAGCCGAGCTGTCTGTGCAGTGTGGTACAGTTACAGATGTTCTGGCTTAGAAGCCCTTCCTAAGAGAGTCTATTTTCCCCGTCGTGTAGATTTTTCATATATGTCCTAGGTGAAGCCCCTCCTCTACAGTCCCCTTTTTGGCGGGAAATTTTGCAGCTTGACTGCGGATCAGTTCCGCAGCCAATCAGAAGGCCCAAATCGAACCGACCAGGAAAATGTGAGGAAAGGAATTTTTGTTTTGACATTTACAGTTGAAACTACTTCTGATTTTTTATCTTGACCGCGCTTACTTCTAAATCCCGTCGAGCGTTACTCAGCGCGCTCGACGATGACAGGGAAAAACAAACTATATTTCCAAGTAATTCCTAAAACCTAACCGAATTTGTTTGTTCTGCCCGTCAGTCATGCAACACTGATGAACGTGGAGAATTCTTGCGACAAGAAGTTGAATCAAGCGCATTCCGAACTGGTACGTATATGACAGGAAACAACAACTATTAGCGAAGCAAAACCAATTTCCATGCAATTTTACTGAATATGGGACTATAGGGTCCCGTTTGCCTGGGGTTTGAAGGGTTTTCCACAAAGGCCCGCAGCGCGTGTGTTTTTTACTGGGACTCTAAGCAAGAACATCTGTATTGCCAGCCAGCCATCGAAGGTGAATGTGAAGGTGAAGGTGACGTCACTGACGTGACGCGCGTTGTGCGAATCAACCAACCGACCGACCGACCGAAACCATGGCTTCTCTCTCGTTTTTTCGGTTGGTGATTCCAGGGTGTGTTAAATAAACCCTACACAACATTCATCCAACCACTCTGAAACAAAAAGTCAAACCTCTGAAGTTGTCTCTTGTAACACAAGATTACAGCAGGCATTTTCTGATTCTCCCCTGATTCCATCCAGGGTGGGCGAGCCCGCGACAACACCGATCTGATTCGCCACCTTCACTGTGCCAGCCTAACGATTTTTGCGAAGGTCTTTCGCGAATTCATAAGCAACGCCGCCACCCAAAACCCCACTCACCTACCCAAGGTGGTACTGTGTCATCTATTCGTATGTGCATGACTTAACTGTAGCAGTTCCACACCGCCAGACCCATACAGTTGCACACGAAGGACAAGAACGCGTATTTTCTTTATATTATTTATATGTAAGCGGCAAACCAAGTTTGACTACAAAAGAAAGCTTATGAAGGAGCTTATGTCTACCACAAACAAGGTGGTGCTTCTGCTCTTCATTACTATCACAGGTACAGGACACAGTGGTACAGCATAACGGGTAGGTTGTGATCTAAGCGCATAGAGTACAGGTACTAGTGATTCCTTCATAACATATCGATTAGAATTTGAGGGGGATTGGAGCACGAAACGAAATGCCTATATTGTTTCCAGCCACCCACTGCTCTTTGCTCAGCGTTACTGTATCTCATGAGCAACAGTAATTGAAAGTTTAATCATCCTGCGCATCATCATCTTCACTGTCATCGCTGCCATCGCTGCATGTAAAACACCGAAGCAGCATATAGATCATGAGTGGCCAAGTTAAGCCTGAATACCCAGGAAAACATAATAACGAAAAGACGCCCTACCTGGAGATACAAACAAGCCTCAGTTGACAGGAAAGGAATAGAAGGAAAAATAGTTACCTGACAACGGGCATCTTTGCAATGCGGCGGGACTCGAGCCCTGTGAGATACTTCTGCGCTGCTGTTACCTGGTCAGGACCTGGTCAGTCAGAGAGTTCAGACAGCGGCAGGAAAAAAATAGGATGCCTCAGTTGCAACGAGGGAGAATGAACATTCAACTTGTTCGCGCTGCACAGGTTGAGAACTCATGAAGGTTCAGGTGAGCTTGTCCCCAGTGGGAAACATGGCAGGCTTATTCATGCCTCAGCCCTTTTGTGCTGAGCCAAGATGATGATTACTCTAACCTTGCTGGTTCGTAGGGCAAGGCTCTTGCTGAGCTGGACATTACCCGGGCTGAGCTGGAACTCACCCTTGCTGAGCTGGAAGGCGTGCAGGATGGTTCGCTCTGCAGCCATCCTCACAGGCTGACTCGTGTCCTTGAGGCACTCTGACAGGGGCGGGCCCAGCGCCGCCATGAGCTTTGCTGGGATGGGCTCCTGTAGTTATAACGCAGTGTGAAGGAGGGGGGGGGCGGGAAGGTGGTGAAGGAGGGGATAGAGGGGTGAGGAAGGCACCATCTGACTCGTGTGTCCTTGAGGCACTCTGACAGCGGCGGGCCCAGCGCTGCCATGAGCTTCGCTGGATGGGCTCCTGTAGTTATGATGCACTGTCAAGAGGGGCAAGGGTGGAGGGGGGTGAAGGAGGGGATAGAGGGGTGAGGAGGGCACAGAGGCTGACTCGTGTGACCTTGAGGCACTCGGACAGGGGCGGGCCTAGTACTGCCATAAGCTTCGCTGGTATGGGGTCCTGCGAGCATGGCATGGAGCAGTGTTTTGTTGGGGAGGAGGGGAGGTGGGGTGGGGGATAGTGGAATGAGGGAGGTACACAGGGTGACTCGTGTGACCTTGAGGCACTCCGACAGGGGCAGGCCCAGCGCTGCCAGGGGCTTTGCTGGGACGGGCTCCTGTGGTTAGAGAGCAGAGATGGGTGGGAATGGAGCGGGGAGAGCGCGATGAGCCAGGTCCGGGCCCCTTATGAGCAGTTTTGGGCGGGGGATAGAGGGTTGGGGAGGCCACACTTTGACAACGTCAATGCTGTTGACTGCATTGACTGCATTGACCGACTTGACTCACCTTCTTGGCAACCATCTTGACAGCAGAGAGTGCCTTCCTCCGCACGTCACTAGCAGCAAGAAAGAGAGGATGAATAAAGCAAGTGGACCAACCACCTTGACCCTGTTGATCCCGTTCCATGCACTGACTCACCTTCTTAGCAACCATTTTGACAGCAGAGAGTGCCTTCCTCCGCACGTCACTAGCAGCATCCCCAAGCAGCGAAGCCAGCACCGACACCACACCCGCCGCACTCCCCCCGCCCATGCCAAACAGCACCAGCCACCTCCCCGCCGACTTAGCCGCCGTCTCCCTCACCGGCACCTTATCATCCCCTGCATGTGCTCTTATCGCCGTGGCTGACTTTTCGGCAACGGATGTGAGCTGGGATGCTGGCAGGGGCGCGGGGCGGGAGGCGGTGTGGCGGAGGAGGGAGGAGAGCGCGAGGGCGGCTGCAAGGCGGTGCGACCAGGGGCGGGAGGAGGGGAGGGGGGCGGCAAGGGCGGCGAGGAGGGAGAGGTAATCCGGCTCCGATAGGTACTGTTGGGGGTGGGCAGGGTAGGGGTTAACAATATGGGGGAGAGACAGAGAGGAAAGGGGTCAATTTTCTGTATGGAACCTCATCGTAAGTGCTCAATGGTAGTAGGTGGCAGGCTGAGTTCAGAGCAGTGTGGCGGAGGAAGGAGGAGAGGGCGAGGGCGGCTGCGAGGCGGTGCGACCAGGGCCGGGAGGATGGGAGGGGGGCGGCAAGGGCGGAGAGGAGAGAGAGGTAGTCTGGTTCAGCTAGGTACTGTTGGGGGTTGGGAAGTGGGGTGGGAAGGTGCGGGGAGGATTTTTTTTTTTTGACACGTCTCAGGGGCAGTGCCGTGAGCTACGCTTTGTGTACACGCAAGCACTGAACAAATTCTCAGGATTTTTTTTTAAAACAAATTCTTAGAATTCACACTAAAGACGCTCTCTCACCTGCGCAGTGCCTCCCAGGGCTCTAGCAGCAACGGAACGAACAACAGAGTCGTCATCGCTGTCAGAGGCGAACAGCACAGCCTGCAGCGACGAGGAGAGGCGCTCCAGAGAGGTCTGATCCCTGAACATAAACCCGTTATGTCACCCTGACCTTTGCTCTCCCTTTTTTTCTCACCTGTTCGGTGCCCCCAAGGGCTCTAGCAGCAACGGAGCGAACAACAGAGCCGTCGTTGCTGTCAGAGGCGAACAGCAGGGCGAGCAGCGACAAGGAGAGGCACTCCAGAGAGGGGTGCGATAAACCTCACTCCCCTCTGTCCTCTCTCTCCTCATTGCTCTCACCTGCGCAGTGCCCCCCAGGGCTCTAGCAGCGACAGAGCGAACAACAGAGTCGTCATCGCTGTCAGAGGCGAACAGCACCGCCTGCAGCGACGAGGACAGGCGCTCCAGCGATGCCGGAGAGGCTGCCTTGCCTCCGTGCCTCACCACTCCGCGGATGGCCATCAGCATCGACTCCTTCACTGCACCATCTGCAGTCTGTGAGGGGAAGAGGGGAGGGGGGGCGGAAGGAGGCACAATACGCACGACAGGGATCACCCAGCCTTGCCTCCGTGCCTCACCACTCCTTGGATGGCCATCAGCATCGACTCCTTCACTGCACCGTCCGCAGTCTGTAAAAGGGGAAGAGGGAAGTGTGGATGTGAGGTCGGTCAGGAGGGATGCCATGCCAGTAAGGTGCTGATGTGGACAGAACAGAACGCTGGACAGAATGCTGACGTTGCACAGAGTACTGACGTGGAAGAGTGCTGACCTGGAGACAACACTGACCTGGATGGAGTTGAGCAGGTCGGAGATGAGAGCATCCACTCGCGGGTTGAGCGCTGTCAGCCGCCCCAACGCCTTGGCTGCCCGCGAGCGCACCGTGCTGGGGAGATGAGTGGGGGGATGGGGGGTGAGTCTAGACGAGCTTTAGGAAACGAGGGAGATTCATAATGGTTAGTAGGAGTGTTCCTGGCAGCAGATGAAAGCAGTGCGCAGCTGCAGCAGGAAAAAGGGCTTGACGTGGTGCTCGACTCGAGGCACCCCTGCTCCCACCTTTGCCTGCCTGCGCCCATACAGACTAGACTCAAATGGTACTTGGCACGCGGGGAGAGAACAGGGGGAGAGCAGCAGGCACTCACCGGTTGGAGTCTTGCAGGCAGCGGATGAAGGTGGTCTGCAGCTGCGGCAGGAAGGGCTTGACGTGGTGCTTGAAGCGCCCCTGTCTGTCCCTACCACTTTCGCCACCCCTGTCTCTTCCACACATACTCAGACTGCAGGTGGGAGGAAAGAGAGAGGCTCACCGGTTGGAGTCCTGAAGGCAGCGGATGAAGGTGGTCTGCAGCTGCGGCAGGAAGGGCTTGAGGGCGATGCCACCCTTGGAGATGAGGATGGCGAGGGTGGAGAGAATGGCCGCCTTGACCTGCCAGGGGAAGCGATCCCCCACTATGCGGATGAGGGGGCTGTGAGGGGGGGGACAGAGGGCGGGTGTCAGGGAGAAAAGGAGGAGGGAGGGAGGGGGAGAGGGGATAAGATGTGTTGAGAGGGGATGGCCGCCTTGACCTGCCAGGGGAAGCGATCCCCCACTATGCGGATGAGGGGGCTGTGAGGGGAAGGAGGGAGGGGGGAGCACCAAGCAGGCAGGGGGAGGGGGGAAGGGAGTGGGGATAAGAGGGAAGGAAGGGCTTGAGGGTGATGCCTCCCTTGGAGATGAGGATGGCGAGGGTGGAGAGAATGGCCGCCTTGATCTGCCAGGGGAAGCGATCCCCCACTATGCGGATGAGGGGGCTGAGAAGAGGGAGGGGGAGAGGGGGAGCACGAAGCAGGCAGGGGGAGTGGGATAGGAAGCAGGGATTAGAAGGAAGGAAGGGCTTGAGGGCGATGCCGCCCTTGGAGATGAGAATGGCGAGGGTGGAGAGAATGGCCGCCTTGACCTGCCAGGGGAAGCGATCCCCCACCCCACTATGCGGATGAGGGGGCTGGGAAAGGGGGGCTGGGAAAGGGGGGCTGGGAAAGGGGGGCTGGGAAAGGGGGGCAAGAGGGAGAACGGGAAAGGGAGCGGGGGAGGGAAACGGGGAAGGAGAGGGGATGAGGGGGGATGGGAGGGGATGGGCATGCAAGAGCTGTTACTCATTTTGTTCTTTTGAGAATTCTGAAAGAAAACATTTACTGGTCCACTCTCACCCAGTAAAGGGCCGCACAGCTGCCTCACCCGCACGTCTATCACCCACACCCATCCACACCAATTGTGGTACCCAACTACTGCATTCACCCAGTGATGGGCACCACAAACGGCAGCAGAGCCACCTCACTGGCCACGTCTATGAGATCTGTGCCTGCAGCCACTATCACTCACCCATCCACACCACCCATGCAAACCCACCCATCCACACCAATTGTGGTACCCAACTACTACACTCACCCAGTGATGGGCACCACAAATGGCCGCAGAGCTGCCTCGCTGGCAACATCGATCAATTCCGCCAGCCCGTCTGCTGCCGCCTCCCGCATCTCCGCTGACCCCAGCATGAGCGCCTGGAAGGGGGAGGGTGGAGGGTGGAGGGTGGAGGGGGAGGGGGAGGGGGAGGGGGAGGGGGAGGGGGAGGGGGAGGGGGAGGGCATGAGACAAGCAGTCACGTGCGTTTGCTGCTGTACCTGTGGCATCTCTGGGGTGGGAACGTTTTGAGGCATCTCTACATAACTGGAGCCTGGTGGCACGTCAGGTACATCTGAAGCAGGTATATCTAAACCCCACAACAAGACAGGCTGAGATGCTCACCTGCAGGTATATCTGGAGCACCGGCTGCAAGCCCTTGGGCAGGCAGAAACCAGCAACGAGCATGGGAAGGCCCTGTGGGGTGATGGGTGCGTAAGGAGGGAGAGAGCACCAAGCGGTTGGAGTCAATATTGAAAAAGAGATAAAAAAGAAAAAAAAAAGGAACAAGTATGGTAACACAATGAAACGAGAGAAAGAGACCTAGAGACCTTACGTATGCAAGAGTGGCAAGGCAACCCACCTTCCTCTTCCTCCTCTCCCTGTCCCTGGCAGTGGCAACAGCGTCTCGAACCACTTTGAGGTGCACTGGCAGGGACTCCTTGGGGATGGTGCTTGTGACGCTGCCCAGCGCCTCCCATGCCACCTGTGAAGGAATGGACAGGATGTGAGTTTGAGATGAAGGTAGAAACGAACGATTGTGATCAGAGATGGTAGCTGCTGCCCATCCAGATGCATACATGCACTCAAGCACAACACACACTCCTCATCATTGAAGAAGGGTTTTGAGACGTCTCAACTTTTGAGGCGCCTCAAAAGAAGTCACACACTCCTCATCATTGAAGTAGGGTAATGCACTCATCATTGAGACGTCTCAAAACCCTTCTTCAATCTCATACATGCACTCAAGCACAACACACACTCCTCATCCCAGCATACCTTCACACATGCTTCCTCGGGGTCTGCGAGCATGACGATGAGGTTGGTCATCAGCAACACACGTGCACACACCCCATCTCATCCCATGTCACATCATACCTTCACACAGGCCCCGTCTGGGTCTGCGAGCATGACAATGAGGATGGTCATCAGCAACACACGTGCACACACCCCATCTCATCCCATGTCACATCATACCTTCACATAGGCCCCGTCTGGGTCTGCGAGCATGACAATGAGGATGGTCATCAGCGACGGCAGCTCCTCCTCCACCTCCTCCCAACCCACACATGCATAGTTGGCAGCACTCATCACATCACACCACACATACCTTCACGCAGGCCTCGTCTGGGACGATCAGAATGGTCATCAGCGATGGCAGCTCCTCCTCCTCCCAGCCCGCACACACATGCACTACAGAGAATGCGTCACGCACTCATCCCATTGTACCTTCACACAGGCCTCATCCGGGTCTGCCAGCATGACGATGAGGATGGTCATCAGCGACGGTAGCTCCTCCTCCAGATCCACTCGCGTGATCTTGCAGAACGTTCCGAGAAGCTTCGCTGCCCCACGCCTCATGACCGCCTGGGAAGGATAGGGAGAGAAGAGGACAGGAGAGGAGAAGAGAAGGGAGGACAAGGTGAGGAGAAGAGGGGAAGGGAAAGGAGAGACGAGCAGAGAAGAGAGGCGAGATAGGAGCACAAGAGAGTGTGTGGGTGAGCTCACCTATAAGAAATTGCAGCTGTGTTTTGAGTTGATTCAAAACAAGAGAGCGTGTGGGTGAGCTCATTAAAAAAAAATTGCAGCCCCTCCGCACCCGCCCCGTCTCCCTCCCCACTCACCCCCATCCTGACCTTTACCACCCGCCCTTACCTCTTCCCAGAACGTACCGAGTTATCAGAGAGAGCGTGCGTGAGCTCGCCAATAAGAGAGTCCAGCCCCTCCTCGTCCACCCCCTTCACCACCGCCTCTGCTGATGCCACCGCCATGGAACGTAGGGGGGACTGTTGGGAAGAAGAGTAGTGGCATGGGAGGGACGAAGGGAAAAGGGGAACAAACGGAGGGGGCGGGAAATGGTGTGCGTGAGCTCGCCAATAAGAGGGTTCAGCCCCTCGTTTTCCACTCCCTTCACCACCGCCTCTGCTGACGCCACCGCCATGGAGCGCAGGGGGGACTGGGGTGGGGGGAAGAATGGGGGACGTGGGGAAAAGGGGAACAGAGGGGGGAGGAAGCAGTGTGAGCTTGCCTATTAGAGAGTTCAGCCCCTCCTCGTCCACTCCCTTCACCACCGCCTCTGCTGATGTCACCACCATAGAGCGCAGGGGGGACTGTAGGGAGAGTTGATGGGCAAGGGGAGAGAGAGTGTGGAAGCAGGTTGGGGGAAGAAGGTTCTGGAAGAAGAGGTGCCAAAGAGAGTTTTCGAGAATGCCTTACATGAAACCACTGCAAAAACACTCAAAATCGTTGACAGGTCCCAGGACTGCCATATTGGTATGACTTTTGAGAATTCTCAAAAGTCATACCGAGAGAGTTTTCGAGAGTGTCCTACATGGAACCACTGCAAAAACACTTAAAATTGTCGACAGATCCCGGGACTGCCACCACAGCAGCATACCCTTCTAGCCTTGCTCACTTCCCTCTAGCCCCCCTAACCCACTCACCTCCTCAATCTGCCCCATCTCGTTGAGCAGTGGAGGCAGCACGGTTGCCAGATGCACACACATGCCCGCCAATGGACACACATTTCTTCACATTCCCACACATGAACACTCGCACACACTCGCACTCACCTCCTCCATCTGCCCCATCTCATTGAGCAGCGGCGGCAGCACCGTGGCCAGATGCACACACATGCCCGCCCCTGCCACCTCTGCCAGCGCCCCCAGTGCATGCGCCTTGAACTCCCTGTGTGGGCGAGATCCGGGGTGGGTAAAGGGGAGAAAGTAAACCCAAACATTGAGTCCGCCAATTAGACCTACTGGTGAATTGGACACAAAAAGGAGCAAGTGGAAGGGCAGTGTACGTACGTGAGAGGCGGTTTGACGAGCTTGGGCAGGATGTGAGGTAGTACGACAGTGGTGCGCACACTGCAGAGCATTGGGGGGGAGGACGAGGAGGTGGAGAAGGGGGATGAGGTAGAGGGGAGAAACGGAATGACTTTCAGGCGGCGTCTCAGAAAGTTTGACGAGCTTGGGCAGGATGTGAGGCAGTACGACAGTGGTGCGCACACTGCAACACAAGGGGGAGATGGGGAGAGGGGTGAAAGGCAGAGGGGGAGAAATGGATTGAGACTTAAGGTGAAAAATTTTCAGGCTGCAATCTGTTGCTATTGAATCTGGAATATAGCGCAACCCACCTGAGTATCCACCTGAACCCATCCGACCTGAGAATCACCATTCCACCTGAAAATTGACCTGAACCCATCCCACTTGAAAATTCACCTGAACCCATCCCACCTGAGGATCTGTTTGAGCCCATCGAGCGCCGTGGCAGACGTGTGGGGATCCTCCAGAGAGTGCAGCAGCGCTGGCACGATCTCATCGATTGCTTGCATTCCCGCACTCTGCGCAGGCAGGGGAAGCAAACGCAAGGAGAGAAGAGCAGCAGATTAGCGTCGCACTTCTGCGATACGAGTTCACTTAGACAGTCGCATACGGTATGCCCACAAGAGAAGGGACTGTCCTGAGAGGCACCCACCTTGTAGTGCGTGCTGAAGGCCTGTGCTGCTGCCTCCCTTTGGGGCGCTTAAAAAATCGTTCCTATACCCGCAAGTCCTATGCACATGAGAGAACGAATTTCCATGTGAGTGAGGCACCCACCTTGTAGAGCGTGCTGAAGGCCTGTGCTGCTGCCTCCCGCACTTCAGCATCCCTGCTCAGCACGAGAGACAGGGAGGAACGAACGAACAGAGGAGCAGGATAAGCATGAGGAGCAGAGAGAGCACGATGAGCAGGGGTAGCAAAAGGAGCAGGAGGAGGGAAACAGGAGGTGTGACAGAGTTGCCGCATATTACAGAAGCGTGTCTGACACTCACTCATCGCAGAGCGCAGTCCGGATGGTGCCGATAAGGTCGTCCAGGTGGGATGTGAGGTGAGGTTCTGCGGCCTAGAACACACCATCTATTACAAAGGCACAGTGCTTCACTGGTTGGTTGGACTCACTCGTCGCAGAGCGCAGTGCGGATGGTGCCGATGAGGTCGTCCAGATGGGATGTGAGGTTCTGCCGCCCCGCTGCATTCATCACCTCGCCCAGCCCACAGCACACACCCTGCAGACATATCAAGACAGGAAGGGAATCCATGATCGCATTAGTGTTCATGATCACAGAATGTTTGTGATCAGACAGAACGTGACAGCGGTGTCTAATGGAACGGAGCGAATGACCTTGATTGATGTCATGGAGAGACGTGATGACGTGGAACGAAAATACAGTAGTCTCGTGTGCAACAGAGGCAGCACAGGGCAGGCTTACATGCATGCGCACGCACACACACGTACGCACCTGTCTGGTGGCGGGGTTGGGGTCCTTGAGGCCGGCAGAGAGGATGGGCACCACCGAGGGCAGCACGGATTCAACACTCACCCACCTGTCACTGGGGCGAATTGCGGGGTCCTGGTTTTGAAGAGTCGCACCTGTCTGGTGGCGGGGTTGGGGTCCTTCAGCCCAGCAGAGAGGATGGGCACCACCGAGGGCAGCACTCGCTCTCCCAGCTTGCGCACCAACTCGCCTATGGCCCTACTGGCCATCTGGGGACACAGGAGAGGAGTCACAGAGAAGAAGAGGAGGATGAGGGGTGGGTGGGATAACTTGGGGGTGCGGTGGTTGACAGATGTGGATAATGGTAGCAGTATACATATTACCTTAGCAAAAACACTGGAAAACATGACGTGATTACAAGTGATGCAATGTGAATACAGCCCCATCCCCACTTGGCGGCGCTCGAAGGAGGGCGAGCCGAGGGAGTCGATGAGGAGGCGCATGAGCGTGGGCATGATCTCCTTGAGCGTGCGCGGGGTGTTGGCCACAATGGTTTTCCACACGTGCACCGCGGACTGCAAAGAGTGAGTGGGGAACACAGAGGAGAGGGAATGCATGAGCGTGAATGAGAGCGCATGAGTGTGGCGTGGGCATGATCTCCTTGAGCGTGCGCGGGGTGTTGGCCACGATGGTCTTCCACACGTGCACGGCAGACTGCAAAGAGTGAGAGGGGGAACACGGAGGAGAGAATTATTTGAATCACACACAGAGGGAGGAAAGGCATGAGTGGGCATGCATGCAGGTAGGTGGGCGGGCAGGGTGTTGGATTTCAGAGCCAGCATGTATGCACCTCAACAGATCCCCAGTTTTGAGGCGCCTCAAAAACCGCGTGAACTGAGACGAGTTTTGAGGCGCCTCAAAACTCATGCATGCAGGTGGGTAGGTGGGCGGGCAGGGTGTTGGATTTCAGAGCCAGCATGTATGCGCCTCAACAGATCCATTGGTGCGACTTTTGAGAATTCTAAAAAATGAGTGGGCATGCATGCGGGTGGGTGGGCGGGCAGGGTGTAGGATTTCAGAGCCAGCATGTATGCACCTCAACAGATCCCCAGCCCAGGAGCTCCTCCCTCTTGTCATTTCAATTCCTCAATGTCAGAATGTCGGTGCCTCAAACACTCGATACCTAAACTTCCTCACCTGTCGCACAGACAGCGACACGTCCGATCGCACGATGTACACAGCAGCCAGCACCTCGTTGCGCCTATCCAGCCCCAACACGTCCAGAATCGCCCGTCCCTTTTTGGGATGCCTCAAATTCACACCACGCGCTCTACACACCAGGACTGTTGACCCCGACCGAGAGCTCCTTCCTTTTCACTTCAAATCAACATGTACGCGCCTCAACAGATGCTCTTTCAGCTTTAGGTTTCCTCACCTGTCGCACGGACAGAGACACGTCCGATCGAACGATGTACACGGCAGCCAGCACCTCGTTGCGCCTATCCAGCCCCAGCACGTCCAGAATCGCCCGTCCCTGCGCCTCCGTGCTGGCGCCCTCGTCGTCGCTGCCTCCCTCCAGTACGACCTTGCCTGATGTGCCTGCGACCTGATGGGGAGGGAAGGGGAGAGAAGGAGCGAGCAAGAAAAGTGGAATGAGAAGGGAGTTACAAAGAGTGGTACTGAGAATCGCCCTACCCTGCGCCTCCGTGCTCGCGCCCTCGTCGTCACTGCCTCCCTCCAACACCACCTTACCTTGCCTGATGTGCCTGCCACGTGTGATGGGGGGGAGGAGGAAGAGGGAGAAGCAGGGCAAGAAGGAGAGCTGTGAACGCTTAAATCGAGGTTGCCACCTTTTGACATGGCCACCTTAAAGAGCAGGTCGCCAGGAAGTTTTATGAAGCCCTTCACCCCTCCATTACAGTCACTTCAATAAACGCCACTTCAAGACAGACGTCGCCACAAGAAATACCCCGCTCCTCCTCCCCTCGTTACTGTCACCTTGAAGAGCAGGTCGCCCAGCGGTTCAATGGAGCTCTCCCGCCCTCCATTACAGTCATTTCAATGGTCCCCAAATAGAAACGTAAGCTACCCCTCGTTATAGGCACCCCACCTTGAAGAGCAGGTCGCCCAGCAGCTCCACGGAGCTCTGCCTCTCCATTATAGTCACCTGCAGCAGTATCTGAAGATAAACGCCCCCCGTTTCTTCCTCCCCTCGTTATAGTCACCTTGAAGAGCAGGTCGCCCAGCAGCTCCATGGAGCTCTGCCTGATCCGCCAGCTGTCGCTGAAGAGTCCCTCCTCCACTGCTGGCAGCAGCAGCGGCAGCGAGCTGGGGGTGGGGAAGGGGAGAGGCACGGGGAAAAGAAAAGAAAGGAAAGAGGGCAAGGTGAAAGGAACATATCAGCTGTCGCTGAACAGCCCCTCCTCCACTGCTGGCAGCAGCAGCGGCAGCGAGCTGGGGGGGGGGAAGGGGAGAGGCACGGGGAAAAGAAAAGAAAGGAAAGAGGGCAAGGTGAAAGGAACATATCAGCTGTCGCTGAACAGCCCCTCCTCCACTGCTGGCAGCAGCAAAGGCAGCGAGCTGGTTGGGGGGAAAGGGGAGATGGGAAAGGGAGAGAGTTTTGGAGGGAACGAGAGTAAGGTGGAGGCAACGTAAAGGTTGTCGCTGAAAAGCCCCTCCTCCACAGCCGGTAGCAGCAGCGGCAGCGAGCTGGTATGGGGGAAGGGGGGAAAGGAGGAGGGAGAGGAGAGAGGAACATATCAGCTGTCGCTGACACGGTGAAAGATGGCACGGTGAAAGGAAGAGAACAGGGAGAGATAGAACAAACAGAAAGAGAGTATGGAGGGAGAGAGAACACACCTGATGGCGTATTCCTGCACCAGCACATGCCCGGCTGCCAATGCTGCATCACGCACACTCTCGCTCTCATCCGCCAGCCCTGAGGGGGGATGTGGGGAGGGAGGGAGGGACGGAAACGCGAATCAGGATAAGTACTCTCGCTCTCACCCGCCAGCCCTGAGAGGGGATGTGGGGAGGGAGGGAGGACATAGAAAGGCAATCCAGACTAGCACTCTTATCCGGAGGCAACAACAAGAAAGGGAAAATGAGAGGCAGGTGGATTTGGGGCATCACATGATCACATCACGTACCATCGAGAATGGCAGGCAGCACTTGGGGGAGGTAGTTCTGGAAGGGAGCCCCGAAGGACAGCGGTAGGTACTGCAATGCCGGGCAGGCAGGCACGAGAGGAAAGCAAGGGAGGAGGATTGCTTTTCGGCACCTCGAAATTTGAGGCGCCTCAAAAGGGAGGGCTTTTGAGGCGCCTCAAAAGGGAGCCCCGAAGGACAGCGGTAGGTACTGCAAATGCCAGCCAGGCAGGCACGAGGGGAAAGCAAGGGAGGAGGATCGCTTTTCGGCACCTCGAAATAGCAGTGTTGGAAGGCACGGCCGAACCGAAGTGCATAAAAGGTTTGAGACGTCTCAAAAATCTACTTTCTACACGTGGCTTTTCGGCACCTCGGAATAGCAGTGTTGGAAGGCACGGCCGAAGTGCATAAAAGGTGACGAGAACAGGGAAGGAGGAGACTTTTGAGTCGACTCAAAAGTCACAAGGGAGGATTGCTTTTCGGCACCTCGCAATCGCAGTGTTGGAAGGCACGGCCGAACCGAAGTGCATAAAAGGTGACGAGAGCAGGGAAGGAGGAAAGACGAGGAAGAGAAGAGGAGGAAGAGAGGACAGGAAGAGGAGACATGCGAGGAACGGGTTGGATTGGATGTTGAGGAGGCATTTATGAGAGCCTGAGTGATACATGTACAGTGTGGCCGTCTCTGACGGTCGACACCTTGTGCGAGCACCCCACCAGCAGGTCTGGCAGCAGCAGCTCGAAGCGGAACCTTCAAGCATTGACTCCCATTGACCAGCGTTGACCAGCGTTGACTCGCGTTGACTCACCTTGAACAGTGTCAAATGGCCGTCTCTGACGGTCGACACCTTGTGCGAGCACCCCGCCAGCAGGTCTGGCAGCAGCACCTCGAACCGGTACCTTCAGGCATTGACCAGCGTTGACCAGCGTTGACTCACCTTGAACAGTGTCAAATGGCCGTCTCTGACGGTCGACACCTTGTGCGAGCACCCCACCAGCAGGTCTGGCAGCAGCAGCTCGAAGCGGAACCTTCAAGCATTGACTCCCATTGACCAGCGTTGACCAGCGTTGACTCGCGTTGACTCACCTTGAACAGTGTCAAATGGCCGTCTCTGACGGTCGACACCTTGTGCGAGCACCCCGCCAGCAGGTCTGGCAGCAGCACCTCGAACCGGTACCTTCAGGCATTGACCAGCGTTGACCAGCGTTGACTCACCTTGAACAGTGTCAAATGGCCGTCTCTGACGGTCGACACCTTGTGCGAGCACCCCGCCAGCAGGTCTGGCAGCAGAACCTCGAACCGGTGCCGGCCCTGCGCCCCTAGCACCTCGCTCAACCCCTGAGCCGCCCCCGACCTTTCCACACTCGATGCGTCCGACCTGCAGCACAAAGGTGCGGAAGTGGTGGGGGAGGCGGGGAAAGGGGGGTGGAGTTGGTTGGGGGATGGGTGGGGTTGGCATTGGCAGCACGAAGCGGTGCTGGCCCTGCGACCCCTGCACCTCGCTCAGTCAGCCCCTGGGCCGCCCCAGACCTCTCCTCCACACTCGATGCATCCGACCTGCAGCAGGCAGGATGGGGGGGTTTGGGAAGGAACGGAGGGGAATGGGGTTGGCAGCTTGGGACGGCAACAACGACACCTAGAATGACAAAGCCCGTAGCTGGTTTTTGAGAATTCTCAGAAACCAGCTAGGGACGGCAACAACGACACCCAGACTGAGAAAGCCCGTACCCGATGGTCTCTAGCATCCAGGGCACGAGGTCAGGAAACTCGTGTTCTCCCACGCCACAAGCTAACGACCCAAAGACACTTAGAGCGAGAAGGGCCGTACATATCCAATGGTGTCCAGCATCCAGGGCACGAGATCCGGGAACTCGTGCTCGCCCACGCCGCGCACCAGAGACCCAAACGCCTTGGCTGCCACGGTGCGCACGTCGAGGTGCGGGTCCAGCAGGACCTTCTTGAGCCCGGGGAGCAGCAGGTTGAGGTAGGGCAGCAGCAGCATACCAGCAGCAGCAGCATACCAGCAGCAGCATCTTACCAGCAGCAGCATCTTACCAGCAGCAGAAAGTTCGGCTAGTCGGTTCCCAAGCAGAAAACGCACTCTGAAACCAACACAGATATACCTAGGAGAGCAGCGTACCCGATGGTTTCCAGCATCCAGGGAACGAGGTCAGGGAACTCTCTCCCACGCCGCGCACCAGCGACCCAAACGCCTTGGCTGCCACGGTGCGCACGTCCGGGTGCGGGTCTAACAACACTTTCTTGAGCCCGGGGAGCAGCAGGTTGAGGTACGGCAGCAGCAGGAGCAGCAGAAGCAGCAAGATTGGCTTACCAGCAGCAGGAGAACCAGCTTACCTAAAGAGAAAGAAGGAAGGGCTGTACGTACCCGATGGTCTCGAGCATCCAGGGCACAAGGTCGGGAAACTCGTGCTCCCCGACACCGCGCACCAGCGACCCAAACGCCTTGGCTGCCACGGTGCGCACATCGGGATGCGGGTCCAGCAGGACCTTCTTGAGCCCGGGGAGCAGCAGGTTGAGGTACGGCAAGAGGGAGCTGTGGTCGGTAACTAGGGAGACGGTGTTGCCGACGATCTGAGCGGCGCGCTTCTTGATGTCGGAGGAGCGCTCTCTCAGCGCGCGGTGCACAATGGGGATCACGAGGGCCAGGGAGGCCGCGTCGATGGAGTTCACGAAGGTGGTCTGGTGGAATGGGAGGGGTGCGAAAACGGGAGAAAACAACATGTAAGGGGCTTGAGACGGCTCAAGAAGGGGACCTCTCTTGCAGAGGGGTAGCTTCTTGATGTCGGAGGAGCGCTCTCTCAGCGCGCGGTGCACAATGGGGATCACGAGGGCGCGTCGATGGAGTTCACGAAGGTGGTCTGGTGGAATGGGGGAAGAGGGGTTGTGGTGCTTGTTGGGGTTGACAATTCCGGCCAGCAGCGACGACACAAGGGAGGCCAGCACTGCAAGTGTGAGGCAGGTGCGGGAAAGAAAGCAGATACACAGATATAACCTGCACTGTAACTGACGTGGTACCTGGAGCAGGAGGTCGAGGCAGGCGCGAGTGTGCTTGTTGGGGTTGGCGATGCCGTCCAGCAGTGACGGCACGAGGGCGACCAGCAATGGTGCCTCCTCCCAAGGCACTTTAGTGAATTTCACAACTGATGCGCTACCTGGAATGGAAAGCAGTGTTACCTCGAACTGATGCCGTACCTGCAGCAGCAGGTCGAGGCAGGCGCGGGTGTGCTTGTTGGGGTTGGCAATGCCGTCCAGCAGCGACGGCACGAGGGCGGCAATCTCAGGGTTGCGGATCACACTCCCCACTTGCTGCAGCGACGTGTGCGCTGCTGCCTGCACCTTGGGGTGCGTGTCTGTGAGCACCTGATGGAGGAGAAGGGAATGCATGGAAGAAACACAGACGGCACACAGAGAGGAAGTGGTCAGCGATCTCAGGGTTGCGGATGACACTCCCCACCTGCTGCAGCGACGTGTGAGCTGCTGCCTGCACCTTGGGGTGCGTGTCCGTGAGCACCTGATGATAGAGGGGAAGGGGATGCATGTGGAACGGAAGGAACGGGCACACAGAGGGCATGAGGGCGGGCAGCGATCTCAGGGTTGCGGATGACACTCCCCACTTGCTGCAGGGACGTGTGCGCTGCTGCCTGCACCTTGGGGTGCGTGTCGGTCAATACCTGATGATAGAGGGGAAGGGAATGCATGGCAGTGAGCACCAATGGTCGATGTGCGTTACAACGGGAGTGGCAGTGAATGTATAACTGTGTACTGCAGGGTGTGTGCGCTGCTGCCAGCACCTTGGGGAATGTGTCTGTCCACGCGACCGCTGCCACACGGAAGGCCATTGCTGCTTTACACAGGCTCAGCTCGCCCTCACTCTCCACATCATTTTCCTCCCTTTGTTTTTGAGGCGCCTCAAAATAGTTTCCTCCCTTTGTCACCTTTGAGACTCTTGCAGAACTTGCACTCTCGCACACACCTTGCCTTAGTAACTTTTCAAAGATCTGCACTCTCGCACGCACGCACCTCACTGAGCTTGGGCACCACGAGAGGCAGGCAGTGCGAGAGCTGGCGGGGCGCACAGAAGGCCATGGCTCCCAGTAGCTGCACACTGCCCTGCTTGCTGCGCCACGCCTTCTCCTCCAGACCCTGGTCAACAAGGAAAGGAAGGGAAGAAGGAGGGAATAGTGGTGGCAAATCGGACCAGGGAAGGGCGGGGGAATATGGAATGAAGGCCACAGAAGGCCATTGCTCATAGGAGCTGGCAGATCAAGAATCTAATCAAGTTGAAAGTGTTAGATTATAGCATGCATATGGCTAGACCTCACAGTGTACACCCAAATCATGGGTGTACACATTGAAGAAGTCTCCCAACTTTTGTTTGGGTTCCCACAACCCACGCGGCCATTATTGTTGGGGAGCCAACATTGGTGGCCAAACCCTCCAATGTTTTGGCTCCTCCAATAATTGGCTCAACCTCAATTATTGGACTGGACCCCCACCACATTGGTCAACCAATAATGGTGGGGGGTAGCCCTAACTTTGGTCACTCACCTCATGCACTATTTGTACTGCTCTTCTTTCTCAATATACTAACTCTTGAGTTCAACTCTCATCCCAACTGTGGGATTCTCACAGAAAGTGGGGATGCATGCGAGTATATGATTCTTTAGTCAACTTCATTATTTCTTACCTTGAGCAGCGCTGGGAGAATGAGCTTGACCCCAGGGGCGCTGAGCTTCCCCATGATGCAGCGAGACGCATGCACCGTGGCCTCCCTCACTGGCGTGGCATAGTTGGTGTGAGTGAGAGTAGCTGATTCAATGGTTGACTTATGGCTCTCACCTTGAGCAGCGCGGGCAGGATGAGCTTCACGCCAGGCGCGCTGAGTTGCCCCATGATGCAGCGAGATGCATGCACCAGGGCCTCCCGCACTGGCGTGGCTGTGTCTGAGCAGATGATATCAAGTGGACTAGATAAACCCTCACCTTGAGCAGCGCGGGCAGGATGAGCTTCACCCCAGGGGCACTGAGCTGACCCATGATGCAGCGAGACGCATGCACCGTGGCCTCCCGCACTGGCGTGGCATCGTTGGTGGTGTGAGTGAGTAGCTGATTTACAGTTGACTTGACTCAAACATCTCTCACCTTGAGCAGCGCTGGCAGGATGAGCTTGACGCCAGGCGCACTGAGCTGGCCCATGATGCAGCGAGACGCATGAACCGTGGCCTCCCGCACTGGTGTGGCTGTGTCAGAGTAGCACACCAGCAGGTACGGCAGAATGTGGATCACGTAGCTGGTGGGGGGAGGAAGGAAGGGGGGAGGGGAAGGGGAGGGGGGAAAGGGGGCGGGGGTGTTGTGAGACGATGAGAGGCTGTGTCAGAGTAGCACACCAGCAGGTACGGCAGGATGTGGATCACGTAGCTGGCGGTGGGAGAGGAGGTGGGGGAGGGAAACGGTTAGTGGGGGTGGGTGGAACAATGAGCAGCTGTGTCAGAGTAGCACACCAGCAGGTACGGCAGAATGTGGATCACGTAGCTGGCAATAGCAGACAGACGAGGGGAGACGGACGAGGGAGGGAAAAAGGGAAGAGAAAGAGGTGTGGCTGTGTCAGAGTAGCACACCAGCAGGTACGGCAGGATGTGGATCACGTAGCTGTCCGTGGGGTTGGGGTGAGGGGGGAAATGGGAGGGGGAGGGTCGATGAGAGGCTGTGACTGAATAGCACACCAGCAGGTACAGGAGAGTCAGATAACAACCAAATTTCATGCACAGATGATGATAATGGAGTTGAGAGAGGAAATGAAAGGTCAGGGGGGGGGGGCATAGGGCAACGAAAAGACGAATCGCGGTACAAAGGGGTGACTTACGGTTCAAAGAGGCGTCCAAGCTTCTCGGAAAGGCATTCGAAGCCAAAGAGTGCTCCTTCTCTTGCCTTCGGGGATGACCTAGTTGGGAATGAGAGTAGGAATAGCAGCGAGAGACAAAGAGAAGTTGGACACCAAAATTGAGACAAAGACTGCTCTGAGACGTCTCAAAACACCTTCGGGGATGACCTAGTTGGGGATGAGATGAGAGTAGGAATAACAAAAAAAGACAAAGAGAATTTGGACACCAAAATTGAGACAAAGACTTGATTGAGAGCCAGGAACTGGCTCTCCGCAGTATTTGAGAGCCAGCCCAACAGCCAACACTTGAAGCCTGCAAATCAGACGTACAGGAAACTCTCCGTAAGCAAATCCTTCAGCCAACCTCCTCCCTCACATCAGTAACATTACTCCGCCCCGCTCTAACCACCCCACTCACTTGTCCTCCACGCCCTTGATCAGTGCCTGCAGCACACCATAATCCCGAATGCTCCTCAGCCCCAGTCCCTTCACCACCCCAGCCAGCAAGCCACATTGCTGCACTCCCTTGGGACCTGACTGTGGACTTTTCCTACCTTCTTCACACCATCCCCCCCACTCACTTGTCCTCCACGCCCTTAATCAGCGCCTGCAGCACACCATAATCCCGAATGCTCCTCAGCCCAAGCCCCTTCACCACCCCTGCCACCCACCTGACTGCCACTCCCCTGACTGTACACTTTTCCTACCTTCTTCACACCATCCCCCCCACTCACTTGTCCTCCACGCCCTTGATCAGTGCCTGCAGCACGCCATAATCTCTGATGCTCCTCAGCCCCAGTCCCTTCACCACCCCAGCCAACAAGCCACATTGCTGCACTCCCTTGGGACCTGACTGTGGACTTTTCTTACCTTCCCTACACACCATCCCTCCCACTCACTTGTCCTCCACGCCCTTGATCAGCGCCTGCAGCACACCATAATCCCGAATGCTCCTCAGCCCCAGCCCCTTCACCACCCCAGCCAACCCAAACGCCGCGCCTCTCCTCTCGGCAAAGCGGTCGCTCGTCAGCAGCACCTTGAGCTGCTGGGCTATGAGCGCCTGGGCGCCACCCTCCTGTGAAAACGAGAAACGAAAAAAAAAAACAAGGAAAGGGATGGAGGGATAAGCCAAATTCAGCTTAGCACCACACCTCTCCTCTCGGCAAAGCGGCTTCCCATCAGCAGCACCTTGAGCTGCTGGGCTATGAACGCCTGGGCGCCGCCCTCCTGTATGCAAAGAGAAGATGGGAGGAGAAAGTGAGGAAAGGGAGAGAAGATTAAGCCACCTTCAGCCCGAGCGCCTTTCCTCTCGGCAAAGCGGTCGCTCGCAGCACCTTCAGGTGCTGGGCTATGAGCGCCTGGGCTCCCGCCCTCCTGAAGGGAGAAGGGGTGAAGAGTGAAAAGATAGGGGGACAGGTGACGGACGGGGTAGGAAAGAATCATCGAGCTGTCAGTCAGGTGAAAGGGAGACTGTGAGGCCGCGTGTGGCATGTCTACGACAAGGAAACGCACCTTGAGAGAGATGGCGGGCATGAGGGGCGGCAGGCAGTCGGAGACGGCCCTCTGCACAGCCCCTGGCTCTGAGACAGGCTCTGAGGTGAGGCCTCTAACACGCACACAGGCAGACGCACCTTGAGAGAGATGGCGGGCATGAGAAGCGGCAGGCAGTCGGAGACGGCCCTCTGCACAGCCCCTGGCTCTGAGACAGGCTCTGAGGTGAGGCCTCTAACATGCACACAGGCAGACGCACCTTGAGAGAGATGGTGGGCATGAGAAGCGGCAGGCAGTCGGAGACGGCCCTCTGCACAGCCCCTGGCTCTGAGACAGGCTCTGAGGTGAGGCCTCTAACATGCACACAGGCAGACGCACCTTGAGAGAGATGGCGGGCATGAGAAGCGGCAGGCAGTCGGAGACGGCCCTCTGCACAGCCCCTGGCTCTGAGACAGGCTCTGAGGTGAGGCCTCTAACATGCACACAGGCAGACGCACCTTGAGAGAGATGGCGGGCATGAGGGGCGGCAGGCAGTCGGAGACGGCTCTCTGCACAGCCTCTGAGGGCGTGTTGAGCACCTCCAACAGCCGTGCGAGAATGAGTGCCACCTTGGGGTCTTCCTGCATGTCCGCACAGGGGGTGGGGGGTAAGAAACAGCAGGGGTTAGATCGAGGGGTAGTAGGCAGTCGGAGACAGCTCTCTGCGCGGCCTCTGAGGGCGTGGTGAGCACCTCTAGAAGCCGGGCCAGGATGAGCGCCACCTTGGGGTCTTCCTGCACAGGGAAGAGTTATGGTTGGAAAACAGTTTTAGCCGAAGTGAGTTAAGCTGAACGGAGCACTGCAGGCGGTGTGGTGTTGCTGCGGATGGGAGAGGATTCCGAGAAACGTCAAAACGCATGCCAAACGGCATTCCTCCAAGAGGCGTCTGACAGAGAAACAGGTTAACGAGACAAACTGCGCGCAGGTACATTTGAGCCGTACCGGGGCAAGATGCTTTGCAAGGGCACCGAGGAAGACCACCACGCCCTCTCGCACGAGATCATAGCTGTGCTCGTTGTCCGCCTGCTCCACAATGCAATGCAGGGGCGCAAAGGGGAGAAGGAAGGGGAAAGGAGGTACGACTTTTGAGTCAACTCAAGGGCACCGAGGAAGACCACCACGCCCTCTCGCACGAGATCATAGCTGTGCTCGTTGTCCGCCTGCTCCACAATGCAATGCAGGGGCGCAAAGGGGAGAAGGAAGGGGAAAGGAGGTACGACTTTTGAGTCAACTCAAGGGCACCGAGGAAGACCACCACGCCCTCTCGCACGAGATCATAGCTGTGCTCGTTGTCCGCCTGCTCTCCAAGAGTGGAGGGTGTAGGGGAGAGTGGAGGGGGGGAGAGGGGTCTTGAGATCATAGCTGTGCTCGTTGTCTGCCTGCTCTCCAAGACAGAGAGAGGAGGGAGAGGAGAGAGGGGGGCGCAGGTGGGTGGAGAACAGAGGGAGGGAAAGGGGAAGAAGGGGGAAAGGACAGACCAGAGAGTAGATGTTGGGAACAGTAGAGCGCCAGACATTCTTCCCATGCCACACCTTCTTGTCACCATGCATACAAGCACACCTTTCGGTCGAGGTAGTTCTCAAAGATGGGCAGCAGCAGCAGCCCCACGTTCTCCTTGCCTTTGATTTCCTGCTCATAGCTCACTCACTACTACAATCCCCAACTGCTACAATCCCCTCACACTGCACCTTCTTGTCACCACGCACACACACAAGCATACCTTTCTCTCGAGGTAGTTCTCAAAGATGGGCAGCAGCAGCCCCACGTTCTCCTTGCCATGCCGGTTGATGATTGCCGAACCTGCCTCCACCATGCGCCTCCGAACCTCCTCGTTAGGATCGGCCTGTTCGAGAAAGAATCAGGGCGGATGAGAACGTTATATATAAGGGCTCAATTGACTAAGCTCACAATTTACAGCAAAACAAATCAGCACTCAGCCCAGAAGTTAGCAGAACCAAAGAAGAAACTTAGGAGCATGGGAAGTAAAATGTTCTGCTAACTTCTGGGGAGCATGGGAAGTAAAATGTTCTGCTAACTTCTGGGGAGCATGGGAAGAGAAGTCACCAGAGCCTTGGAGATGAGGAACGTGGCGACAAGTGGCAGCTCCTTAGTGGTCAGCACGTCAGCAGCAGCTCGCATCGCCAGAGCCATGCCCTCCCTGCTGTGCCACGTGGCATCATCTTGAGGCCGCCACATGGCAGACTGAGGTGGCGCATCCCGCACATACAGCGAGAACAGGCTCGTCAAACTGGTCTGGATCGTGCCTCGGTACTCATCCATAGCTGCCGCCATAGCCTCGGCAGCCGCCAGCCGAACCTCCTGGCTCGGGTTCCCGAGGCTGACAATCAGGTTCGGCGCGTACTCCGGGCCTAGCTGGTGCCCGTACATGTCCCAGACCATCTCGGCAGCCTCGGCGTTTTCAGGTTCAGGGTCGTATTGAGCCATCCAGATGGCACAGGCCACATATGGGTCTTGGGGGGCCTTGCCTGCTGCCAGGGTTGGAATGAACTTGACTGCTTCCAGACACGCCTCCCTCACATGTGCCTGCTCTGCAAACAGACCTTCTAGTGCCTGGCGGAGGGAGGGGAGGGGAGCAGAGGGGGAGGCGGTGTGCGTGAGCAAGAGTAGATTCTCATTGGAGGCGGAGTGGGATGAATTTGCCTGACTTCAGACACGCCTCCCTCCCATGTGCCTGCCCTGCAAACAGACCCTCTCGCACAGCACTGGCTGCACTCGCATCACAGAATCACAACACCCCCAAGAACCGCAACTCATCCCTCAAATTTCGTCCAACTTCAGGCCTCTGCACAGCTCCCTAGGATCGGCTGCACACGTGAGTGGTAGATGCGCACGCGGCCCAACACGTGGTAGAGCACCGAGATCACGGAACAGACTGACACACCAGAACCGCACAATACCCCAACCAACCACAACTCACCCCTCCAATCTCGTCCGACTTGAGGCCTCTGCACAACTCGCGCAGAATCGGCTGCACGCGTGAGTGGTAGATGCGCACGCGGCCCAACACGTGGTAGAGCACTGAGATCATGGCGAGGCGCGGCAGAGCGATGAAGGGCGAGGTGTGCAGCTGCAGGATCGAAATAATGGAGTCGTGCAAACGGGTCTTCTTGTTCGCCCGAAGCACTCGCTCGAAGATCTGAGGAGAGGAGGGATGGAGGGGACATAAAAGAGTGGTGAGACGTCTGGGCTATGAGCATGTGATGGAGGATGAGGTGTGCAGCTGGAGGATGGAGATAATGGAGTCGTGCAGGCGGGTCTTCTTGTTCGCCCGAAGCACTCTCTCGAATATCTGAGGGGAGGAGCAGGGGACAGAGAGGGAGGGAGGGAACAATTAACAACAATGAGGCGCGGCAGACATATGAAGGGGGAGGTGTGCAGATTGGTCTTCTTGTTCGCTCTCAGCACTCGCTCAAAGGTCTGACATGGGAGGAAACATAAAACAATCATGAGGCGTGGCAGAGAGATGACGGGCCGGGCGAGATGTGCCGCAAGAACCCCAACTCATTAATGAAGCAGACGGACACCGTCACTCACTTGCCATCAGATAGTTAGACAGACAACGCCCCACTCACTGGGAATACAGCACCAAACGTGGCAGCAGGCAGCGACCCTCCCTCCTTGCACGCCGCCCACACAGCCCTCACCACCCTGTCCACCACACTCTCCTCCTTCTTCCTCCTCCTCTTCCCCTCCCTTTCCTCCTCCTCGCCCTCCTCCGCGCTCTCCTCCTTAAGCTGCTCCGCCAGGCTCTCCCCTGCGAGGGAGACAGAGCAGAGGGCGGAGGCGACGTCCCAGGAGAAGGGCTGCAGCGCGGGGGAGAGGCAGCGCATCACCAGCGCCAGCGCGTCAAAGGCTTGCGAGGGGATGAGTGGCGAGCGCAGCAGCGGCAGTATGGCCGCCACCTGGGGAATTGGGGGCGATGGGTGGAGGGGGGAAGGGAGGGAGGAAGGAGGAAGGGAAAGATGATGGGGTTTTGAGTTGGCTCATCTTCCTCTGCACTCGCTCTCCTCCTTAAGCTGCTCCGCCAGGCTCTCCCCTGCGAGGGAGACAGAGCAGAGGGCGGAGGCGACGTCCCAGGAGAAGGGCTGCAGCGCGGGGGAGAGGCAGCGCATCACCAGCGCCAGCGCGTCAAAGGCTTGCGAGGGGATGAGTGGCGAGCGCAGCAGCGGCAGTATGGCCGCCACCTGGGGAATTGGGGGCGATGGGTGGAGGGGGGAAGGGAGGGAGGAAGGAGGAAGGGAAAGATGATGGGGTTTTGAGTTGGCTCATCTTCCTCTGCACTCGCTCTCCTCCTTAAGCTGCTCCGCCAGGCTCTCCCCTGCGAGGGAGACAGAGCAGAGGGCGGAGGCGACGTCCCAGGAGAAGGGCTGCAGCGCGGGGGAGGGGCAGCACATCACCAGCGCCAGCGCGTCAAAGGCTTGCGAGGGGATGAGTGGCGAGCGCAGCAGCAGCAGTATGGCCGCCACCTGGGGGAACGGGAAGAAGAGAGGGAGGAGAAGGGAACAGAGGGAAAGAAGATGGCAGGAATGGGGAATACAGATGGTTTGTTCGAGAATTGGGCCATTGATGAGACAAAATATCATCGTGTGCTGCAGCAATCAAATGAAACAAATCAGAGGGCACAGTCAGTAGTCAGAATTGAACAGCGTGATGGAAAGATTGAGGAGCGCTCACGAGCTGAGGCAACTCGTTGTGTGAGAAGGCCGGGTTGGCAGCAGCAGCAGCACCAAGCGTCCTTTTGAGTTGACTCAAAAGTCAGAGAGCACAGTTGCACAGCACTATCGTTGCATGGCAACACAGGATGCAAGAGATGTGAGGATTGAGGAGCACTCACAAGCTGAGGCAGCTGGTCGTGTGAGAAGGCCGGGTTGGCAGCAGCAGCAGCACCCAGAGCCCGCACCAGCACCCCTGTGTGCCTCTGAATCCCCCTCACTCTCTCCCTCACTCCGGCCTCCTCCAGCAGCAGAGCCTCCCTCGCCTCCTCCTTGGCTGTCTTCCCCTTCTCCCCCTCGCCTGCCGCAGCTTTCTTTGCCCCGGGCTTCCCAGTGTCCTTCTTGCCTGCTCCTCTCCCAGCTGCCCCCTTGGCTCCAGCGGCCCCAGCTGCTCCCCGTGCTGGTGTGGCCTGTATATATAAACAGTGGAACAGTGGGTGGAAAAGACGCAAGGGAAGAGTATAGAAATTTCTTTATTTGCTTCCACGCGTCCTTCTTGCCTGCTCCTCTCCCAGCTGCCCCCTTGGCTCCAGCGGCCCCAGCTGCTCCCCGTGCTGGTGTGGCCTGCATATAGAGGGTGGGTGGAAGAGAGGCAAGGGGATGGTACAGGAATTGCTTTCTTTGCCCCGGGCTTCCCCGCCTCCTCTCCCAGCGCCCCCATAGCCCCACTAGCTCCGCGTAGGGCTTGCTTGAAGCTTCCAAGAAAAGTTGCTGCCTTCTATGTGCAAATATTGCGCATGTGCCCAGCTAGTAATGGATGGCGGCGGTAACACGAAACGAATTGATGACGTGGAGTACGAAGTGATGACGTGGAGCACGAAGTGATGACGTGGAGCACGAAGTGATGACGTGGAGCACGAAGTGATGACGTGCAGCACGAAGTGTGGCGTGATGATGTGGTTGTCAAGGCAGCACCATGGTTTTGGGTGGCGGAAGGCGGGGAAGACCGATCAATCAAAGTTCATTTCTTTCATGATGGGGTTAGGCTTTGAACTTTACAACAGAGCACCAATCGCAGAAGCGGGTTTTGTCTCAGTAGCAATACCGTCGCCTTGATTGCACATGAACAACGGACTGATGGGGTTAGATATTTGGACTTGACAAAAGCGTCCCACTCACAGCAGCAGTTTTCTTCACAGCAGCAGCAGGGGTGGGTTTGCTCGGCACGGCTCCTCCTCCAATAATCGTCCAGCTCCGCACAGACTCAAAAGTCGGATCAGCACCAAACAACTTTTGAGGCGCCTCAAAAGTCGGCTCCTCCTCCTCCTATCATCGTCCAGCTCCGCACAGACTCAAAAGTCGGATCAGCACCAAACAATGCTCAGCTTGCCCCTTGCCTGCCTGCCTCACGGCCCTTACGTTATCAGAATCACTCTGCAAGCAACTCACAGCAGCACTTTTCTTTGCAGCAGCAGCAGGGGCGGGTTTGCTGGGCGGCTCCTCCTCCTCGTCATCATCATCCAGCTCTGCACCGTACAGCTTCAGCTTGCCCCTCGCCTGCCTCGCGTTCTTGTCCCTCACCATGACTTCCCTCACGCGTCTCAACAGTCATATCAGCACCAAACAGCCTTCAGCTTGCCCCTTGGGGGTTGCCTTGGCTACCTTATGATCCTTGGCGTTTTCAGAAACATCCTGCAAGCAACTCACAGTGGTGGTTTTTTTCGCAGCAGCAGCAGGCGCGGGTTTCTCCTCCTCCTCGTCATCGTCGTCCAGCTCTGCACCGTACAGCTTCAGCTTGCCCCTCGCCTGCCTCACGTTCTTGTCCCTCACCACCGCCGCTACGTACACTCCGTCCTCTGCTGATAGCATGCCCTCAGGTGTGTTAAATATCTGGAGGAAGGGAGGGAGGAACAAAGGAGACAAACATACGACGTCAGGGTCAGGGCAGGGCAGGAGGGAGATAGAGGCAGGGTATGCAACAGGTGTACCTCACGTTCTTATCCCTCACTCAACCACATCACATACACTCTGCCCGTCTGATGTGCAGAATATTTCGGGCAGGGGGGTAGGGAAGGACGATGAGAAGCAGTAGCAAGATACAGTCGTGTACATCGTTCTGTTGTTATCATGCGTTTACTTACGTCATCCTGATTCTACTGTGTGTCCCTCCCCGCCAGGCCATGCCATGCCATGCCATGCCGTGGCATGCGTACCTTAATCTCCGACTCTGTGAGAGCGTCATGCTCCTTCCGCTGTCCCACTGCCTCCAGCTCCTGCCATGACATGCATGTCGCACAGGGAGAGTCATGGTTGATTAGCAGCAGTGAGAACTTTTGAGTCGACTCAAAAGTCAGCTCAGCTCCTGCCATGACATGCATGTCGCACAGGGAGAGACATGGTTGATTAGCAGCAGTGAGAAGCATAGGTGGGTGACTTGCTGGCAGGGAGGCAATGCACAGTTGCCAGATGAACAGGCATGAGCTGTTGCGTTGATCATAGAAGGTACGGCATGCTTTTCAACAGAGAGATTGACGCCGATAAAAACAGCTCAAAAAGAGTAACTGTGAGAGAATGCAGCCTTTCAAGTGACTGACAGGTGTCGTCCTGCCGTACTCTTCACTCACGAATGTGCTGCCTGCTTTCCCCGCAATGCCACCATTGAGCACATTCACACTGCCACTCACAGCATGTTACGTACTCATCCATCCATACGTGTTTTGAGGCGCCTCAAAAGCCGTACTCTTCACTCACGAACGTACTGCCTGCTTTCTCCGCAATGCCACCGTTTACACTACACACTGCCACTCACAGCATGTTACGTACTCATCCATGCGTGCCATAGTGTAGTGGCATACCGTGTCTAGAGGCTGGAAAAACTCTGCGGGAATGAGGCGCATGGCGGATTGGATGGCTGAGATGGCAGCATCTGACTGAGCTGGACGGCTGGATGCGAGACCCGCTGGTCCAGTCAGAATCTGGGGAGAGTTCACAGGAGCACCATAAGCAGCAGCAAGGAGAGGGGGAAGATTGAGAGGTCACAATGTAATTGAATGGCCATTGAGACTTGGAAAAGGCAGATTGAAAAGGGGAATGGATGGCGATTGAGGCGTGTATGCATATAGTAACAGAGTCACTCAGCCAGTGCTTGGATGCATACCTTAGCCACAACAACAGGCTCCGCGGCTAGAGTGGCAGACACCTCATATACCCGACGCTGCCATGCCCTTATGAGCTCCTGGGGGGGTTGGGTTGGTGTATCGTATGGAGAAAGAAGCAAAAACTCGAAAGTTATCCATATAGAGCTCTAAGATGGTCTCGTATGAACAAGAGCCCTGAGATGGTCTCGTATGAACAAGAGCCCTAAGATGAGACCAAGAACTTCAACTCTAACATACAGAGTTCTCAACCCTGAAGGACCAATGATGGATTCCCACCCCAGATATAGTAAACCCAAGTGAGCGCATTCAACCGCACTGAATCCCCTCACGTGCTCACCTGCCAAACCACGTCTCTCCTCTTTCCACCAGCAACGAGCCCATGGTGTGCCAGCAGCATCACCCGTGCTGCCACGGCCCCTGTGCCTGCCACCACTGGCTAGGCATGCAAAACCACACTCAATTTCTCTAAACTGCACTGAACCGCACTGTAATGCTCACCTGCCACACGACATCTCTCTTCTTCCCCCCAGCAACGAGCCTATGGTGAGCCAGCAGCATCACACGTGCTGCCACGCCCACCCTCTCCGCCACGGCCCCTGTGCCTGCCACCACCAGCAGCGCCTGCCCCAGCAGCTGTGGGGGAGGAAGGCGGTCTGCGGCTGACTCTGGCGATGCTGCTGCCTCAGGGGAATCACTGGAGGGGAGACAGATCAGGGCAAGAGCAAAGAGAGAGCTTTATAGGTGAAAGGAGGGGCTGGGGTCAATGACGGATGCTGCTGACGAAAGTAGTGCTGAGAATACTCAAGGGCAGCATACACCCGGTGGTGCTGATGTCAGAAGCTGTCCTCCAGGGCAGGCAGTGAGAGGGAGAGAGCATCTGGTAAGGAATCCACTTTTGATATGGCGCTAAGAATGGAATGGAATGAAATGAGGCGAGGAGGGGATGAGACACAAAGACAAGCAGACAGAGCCCAACACCCGGTGCCGATGGCAGCAGCTGCTGCGAGGTCCTCCAGAGGGTGCAGGGAGAGAGAGGCAGCGCCCGCCCAGCATTGTTTCGACTGGCGAGGCGCCCCAAGAAAGGACTCAGATGAAGGGAATCAAATGACTGGGTTTGCCACAACACTCACCCCATACTGATTTTTGAGACGTCTCAAAAATAACCTCATTACACGTGGAATCAGATGAAGGGAATCAAACGACCGGGTTTGCCACAACGCTCACCCCATACTGATGGCCACAGCAGCTGCGAGGTCCTCCAGAGGAGGCAGGGAGAGGGAGAGGGCGTCCAAGAGAGAGTAGGAAAGGAGGGGCGCCTCGACTCCGGAATGGAATAAGAGGGGATCGCAAGGCAACCGTCACTCACCCGGTGCTGATGGCCGCGGCTGCTGCGAGGTCCTCCAGAGGTGGAAGGGAGAGGGAGAGGGCGTCCAAGAGGGAGTCGGAGAGGAGGGGAGAGATGGCGTGGAAGCGAGCAACCATGGCGTGTGCTGCCTTGCGCACTGATGATAAGGGGTGCCACAGCAGGTGCACCGCCAACTGTGTAGAGCAAGGGGGGGAAGGGGGGGAGGGTATAGTTGTGTACGAGGGTGCCATAGCAGATGCACTGCCAGCTGAAAGGAAGGGGAACACGAAGACAAGGGTAACTGCACAGAGGACGGGATGGAATGGCTATCGTCCAAGAAATAAGGGGAAAACAAAACGGACTTACAATTGAGGGACGAGCACAGTAGATGGAGAAGAGTTGCCAAGAAGAAGAAGCAGCTTAGAGGTGAGAGCAACAAGTGAAGCTCTGGGCGAGACTTACCCTGCAGAGTTCATTCGTGCTGACAGCAGCAGCATGGCCTGTGCTGACACTGCAGGCGAGGGAGAGAGAGAAGAGGGCGGGGGTTGGGAGGAGAGAGAAAAGGGAAACGAGGACCAGAGAACAATTTAGGCCTGAACCAGATGCAGCATGAGGTAACTTGAATCCACAACACATCTACCATTGAAAGCATGTAATCAGTTACAGCTTGCACTAGATACAGCCTGATTCAGGTTACCCAAACCCATACCTGGCGGGATGGTGCAGCAGCACCACCTCCACCACTTACAACCTGCACCAGATACATCCTACTCTACACTAGGTCAGTCAAGCCCATACCTGGCGGAATGGTGCAGCAGCACCACCTCCACCAGTTCAAGCAGTGCAAGCAGGTCCTCCTCTGCTGTGACCTTGGGCACCTGGTGGTGTTGCAGTACCAGAAGAAATCAGGGGTGGGGGGGACGGCACGTGACAAAAGAAGTGTTACAGTACCAGAAAAAATCAGGGGTGGGACAGCAGAGGAGAGTGCTTGAAGGAGGGATGGCAAAGGAAAGTAGACCCGTATGGTAAGGAGGATCTGCTACGCAGGTGGGTGGGTACCAGCAGAATGGACAGGAAACGCAGGATCTGTGAGCGACGCAGTGAGCAGAGGGAATGGAAATGGGCAAGCCGATGAAATGGCGGAAAGGGCAGAACGGGCAAGAGAGAGAGCAGAACGTACAATGGAGGTGGAGAGGAAGGGTGGGTCACCCTGCAGCACTAGCTGCCACACCTTCTCCTTGGTTAGCTTCTCCTCTGTTGGTGCACACACATTCACATGCACGCATGCATGCACACACACAACACACAAAGACACACACACAAACACACACACACACACACACACACACACACAAACACAACACACACACACACACACGCGCGCGCATGCGCACGCACACACACACACACCAAGTGACGTTGACACAGAGAGTGGATACAATGAGGGCAAGGCAAACGAGCAGACAGGAGAGAAGAAACCAGAACCGACAGATTCTGCCGACCCACATGCACAGGGTAACCAGTCAAGCACAGCAACAGTGGCTGGTGCAGCTAGAAGCAACAGCAGAAGCACCCTTCCAGCTGGATGGTCGGTAAGCAAAGGTAGAGGATTCAGGGTTTATGGCTTGGGATAGTGAGATACCAGATGGGATGTTTGACAGACTCAGATGCCGTACCTGATCCCAGGTCGAGGGCAGCAATGGAGGCAGCGAGCAGCAGCGCATACACACCGTCCAGCCGGATGGTGGGCTTAAGAGGTACATGGTGATGCATGCAATTTCAAACAAAATGCCGGACCGGATGGACCACCACCCAATTTAACTGTCCTACCTGATCCCAGGTCGAGGGCAGCAATGGAGGCCGCAAGCAGCAGCGCATAGACCCCGTCCAGCCGCATGGTGGGCTTAGCCACTCCACTCTTCACCAGTGCCACTAGCGCGTCCACACATGGCACGAGCTGAGGAAAGGGGGCGAGGAGGGGGGGTGATTTGAGTCTACTCAAAACTCGCATGGCATCAGCATGCTCCTAACATCTCAGTATACTCCTAACATCTCACTCTCTTCCCTCCTCCCCTCTTTCCCCTCTTTTTCCACCTTTTTCTCTCACCTTTTCTCGCACGTGTGGGTTGCGGAAGGCCAGGCGCAGACACCTCAGCGTGCACCGCCTGAGCGTCTCCTTCTCCTTCGCCAGCCTGGCAGTGACGAAAGCTGACGTGGCAGCAGGCGCCTGCCTTGCTGTCCGTGCAAGCCACTCGCCCAGAGCCGAGAGGATCGATGCAAGCACCTCCTCATTGGCTGGAATATGCCAGGGTGGGAATGGGGGAGGGGGAAGAAGGGGAAGGGGGAGGCGAAATAGGAGGGGGGGAGGGGTCAGGGAAGATGGGGGATGAGCAGTGCTGCAGAAGAGGACGTGCAAGGGAAGGAGAGAGAGCAGGAAGAGCAAGGGCTTGGGGAGAGCTTTGTTGGGCCGACGAGAAAGAGAAACTCTGTAAGGAAGTCGACTGGGATACATCCATTCCACATCCACCACTGATAGACACTGCATGTGAAAACTCTATTAACTGGCATGTACGCCTTTGCAAAAGTTGGGGTAGTATACAAAACACTCACTGTCGCCAGCATAGGCTGTCATCAGGAACTCCGCCACGTCAGCAGCGACAGCTGGCGCCATGGCATTGGGCCCTGGCGCGGAGAAGGCGGAGAGGGCCCGCAGAGTCTGGTAAACTCCCACCTTCTGATACGCTGACGTCAGCTTGCCCTCTTTGCCTGCAAGGGGTTGGGAAAGTGGGGTTAGGGAGGAGGAGGAGGAGAGAGGAGAAGTGAGGGAACGAGCATGTGGCATGGTCGTAAGCAACCTGTTGGGAACACCTTAAACTCGAAAGACCACCTGTCAGCACTCCTTTGCCGCATACAGGGCAACCTTTGAGGCGTTCAGAGCAAGGGAAGGGAAGGCAACCATGGGCCAATTGGAAGAGAGAACAGGTTTCATACTAGAGTCCTTGCACTGCTTGGTTGGCAGTGCTGTTGTGTGAGCTACAGCAGCAGGTCGTGACACATCTATAGAAACCATTCCGACTGAAAGCATGTGTCCCTGCCAGCTCACCTGCCAGCACCCCCTTGAGGTATGCAAACATGGTCCGGATGCTGTCAGAGTCGCTGCACTGCTTGGCTGCTACTGCCATCTGGGCTAGGGCGGGTTGTAACGTGTTAAGAAATCCATTCTACTTTGTGCCTGCCAGCTCACCTGCCAGCACCCCCTTCAGGTATGCAAACATGGTCCGGATGCTGTCGGAATTGCTGCACTGCTTGGCTGCTACTGCTGTAAGTGCGCGAAAGCAGGTGGCAATACCGCAATAGAGAAAAAAACATCTGATTCTATACTGTGACAAGTCAAGGGAGAGCGCTCACCTGCCAGCACCCCCTTGAGGTATGCAAACATGGTTCGGATGCTGTCAGAGTCGCTGCACTGCTTGGCTGCTACTGCAAACACTCCAATCGCTTCCTCCCTTGTGCCTGCATTCTGATGCCGGGCCTGCAGAGCTAGCGTGGGCAGCAGCTCTGGTGCATAGGCACTCAGATCAAGGCGCACAGTTGACAGCAGGTAGCCTGTGAGGTGGAGAAGAAGTGGGGGATGGGGGGAAGGGGAGGAAAGGGAAATGGGGGGAGGAGAGGGAGAGGGGGAAGAAAAGTCCACATCAATGGAAGGGGAGGAAAGGGAAATGGGGAGAGGAG